ATAATAGGCTTCACCCAGTTTCATATCAAATACGTTTTCTACGCAAGGGAAAAGGGATCTGTAATTTTCTGCTGCGTTTCTTGATATTTGCTGATATAAGATACATTATATATGAAGTTTTGCACCCATGAACTGTCATTATACAAAGCAAGAACCTGCTGACATATTTCTTTTCACGCTTGCCACATCACATCTTGTGCCGGCCGTGATATGCATCTCTGAACTCAGCGGTGCATACGGCCAATATGCGGAATACTATACAACGCATAAGTCCTCACCAACACTAACTTAGCAGTGGAGCGGCGTCTTGTTACAACACAACAACTCATAATGGCAGGCCTAAGATGCCGGAAATCCTGCAAGGCTGGTTCTGTGGCCCCATGCACTCCACATGTTGCTTTTTCTCGCTTGCTTTAAGTGAACTACGCCCGGGCTGCCCAGTCTGGCGGGCCGTGCCGTTTCTCTCCTGCAGAAGATCAATCGATTGGGAATTCCTTTCTGATATGTGATGGAATACAAGCTTATACTATGGTTCGCCCGGTTGAATAGTGTCCCAAGGGATGCAATAAAACTACAACAATATGTACTCTCTATGAAGGAATAATAAGAAGGGGGCGAGCATAGACCGAATATCCTCTTATATGATATCTAAAATAGAAAGATTCTTTGGGCTTTGTCCTCTTTAAAATGCAGAAAGATATATGTGAATTGTGAAATGTGATTATTATCTATAGGTCGATGAGTCTACAAAGCTGAAAGTATAACAAAGAAAAAGTAATATCTGGTCCTCATCCACTAAAAGCTCCTGAGGTCTTCTAATGAGTGGGCTAAAATTCGTGTACGGGTTGATGCCCTGTCGTAATTCCTTGTATTGGACTGGGATGATATGGCTTTGAAGATTGCTATTATTTGAGCCTTCACTCGTCAGAGGATCAAGAGAATGGCATCTTGTTGCAGGCTAGAGCCGAGGTGGCATTGTTTGTGCCCAAAGAGGTCACCGCTTCAGGTAGGAATGTTCCCTACGAATTTCTCTCTCTCAGTGCGCACTTCTTCAGATTCGTCCCCGTCAAAGTCTACATCCAGACTTCCCAGTCTATCAGAGACGCCAAATCTACCAGTTGTTGTAGCATCGAGCCTTCCAGCCTCTCCAACAATGGCATCAATCCTGCTTGCGCTGTGATGTTCGTTTGCATTTATACCGGCAAAATCCGTCTCCCAATTTTCAATTACTAGGTCTGACCACTTGTCATCACCGAGGACCTCGCCCTTTTCTGGACGCTCCGGGTACTCATAAAATATCCATGTTTTCAGCATCAAATGCTCGAAGGCAGAATCTTGAATCCACTGCAAGAGCCAACTGTTCACATATTCCCTCTTGTCTTGGAAATCGATTTCGCATTCATCGTGTTTGTTTGCGTGAGCAGCTATGCGAAGTAGTGATCGGTCGCGGGCGTCGTATACCAAGTCCATCACCTCTTCATAAAGCGCGTCGCGTGGTCCGTACACATGGTCGGATTCTTTGAACAGATCCTGGTCAATGCATTTGTTTCTAAGTAAAAAAATGTCGTCTTCGATGATGTGGAGTTTTTCAAGTACGTTTGAATGTAGTTTCGGGTATCCGGCCAGGAAGGTTGTAGTTTCTGTGGAGAGCGTAATGCTGTGTCGTTTGCGGAAAGAGGCATCCTTCGAGAGTTGATAGTAATCCTCCTCGAGACTTTCCAGCTCTTCTTTCATGCGACCTGCTTTAGAAATTTTCTCTAGATACTCTCGCACCAAACCGTCCTCGGTATTGAGATTCAGCCGTCGGAGGTCCGTCTGAGGAGGGGCGTACGGTTTCACTAGTGGCGAAATCGCATCGTCCAGTTTTGACTCAATGGCTGGAACAGCATTGACGTCGTAATGGCGGTAGAAATGGTCCTCTTCCTCTTCTAGATCTTGTTCTTCGTCATCCAACTGACTCTCCAACAGGACATACGTGTATTCTACCGGACCAAGGGCGTCTTGGGCGTTGCGCAGGCTTTCATAGTATGGGTGGAGGTCTTCTTGCAGGCTGCCAAATCCTTCACTTTCGTTGATCTTTCTCATAAATTTGTCAAGTGCATCTTGCACGCTTCCCCTCAGCTGGTTTACTTCGTTCCTCTGGATCTTTCGTAAGCGCCGTGTCCGAAAAACTCTCCTGCGAAGTATCACAACCCGCTCTCGCGCTCGCAATTGCCGGGCCTAGACATCAACATCCACTCCAGAGCCTTCATCCTGGACCGAACAGGAAGAAGTGGCTTGTCGAAGCGGCTTGCCCTCAGCCAGTGGGATCCCTGAGGATGACAAAGTGTGATCTTCTAGTCGCGGCTTTAGGGTGGACTCTGGCTGGATGGTCTCCGTCGAATTCGCCGTCGATGATCCGGGCATTGCATTGGAATTGTGTACTTGGTGTTGCAAGTCATGACTTTGACTATCAAAGCCCAAGCAGTAGGAACTGGACTTGAACTCTTGCTTCCCTAGGCGCGCATAGGGCCCGTTCGCTCGTGTGATCATCACACGAGCGAACGGGATATACTCGGCAAACTACAGGTATCGTTCAAGGTTCCGATCAATTGTTTCCTCGTTGACAGCCCCGCTTTCTTGAGCCTTGGAGGCTCTGTCTGACGTGTATAGGTACTTCTTGTACTTGTACTTGATTCTGACCCGACACCTGCCATATCATTTGATTTTATTCGCCCATCTAGGTAGCTCTATGGAAGTGCGAATTACATGTAAATGAGTGAGCGATCTGAGAGCCTGCTTTGGGCAGTTGGCCTTCCAACATTGGAAGCGAAATAAATCCAAGTGCTGAAGGCTGCAGAGCCGCAAGAGGAGCGACTGCTCCCGCGACTAGTAAGGTGTTAGCCAATAAGCCAAGTGTGTGTAAATTACTGAAGGAAGGTGTTTGAGTGATGCATGTTATCTGGCAAGGGACGAGTGGACGTCTGAATCATGGCTTATCACTCAGCAACGCATTGGCCACATTGCCAGGTGGGGTGGCAGGAGCACGGGAGTCCAAACACACCACCACCACACCACACCACACCACACGGCTCCATTGGCACCACGAATCCAAGCCAAGTCCTCAGCTTTCAAAATCGAGTGAAAAACAAGCGTCTTCTGAGATGGGCGACACAAATTGGTGTAAGATACCATTGCCGCTTGGAGTATAAATAAAATACCTGCACGAAGTACCGCAAGTCAACGCTAGAGCAAGCGTTCCCGTACCGTACCGTCCTCAAGCCTTAATTTTCTAAGCTCCCGCGAAGTATCGCTGCTTTTGCCTCGGGATATTGTGTGTGGCAGAAGATGCAGATGACCACCGGCCTATAATAATGTCCTCTCATACTCCACCTTCCGCGAGTTCTACCTCCGTACGGGATTGGATCGTACAGCGCTTTCACCCCCGCATTGCTCGCATCAACATGTGGACCGACTCCCAGAAAGACACTGTCAACCCCACTATGTGGCAGGTGCAGAGCCGCAGCCTGCCATTGCGGTTTTGTGCCTGCCACTGTCCATGGTGGATAAAGGTTCTGTTTCCGCATTCGTGCGCTGACCCGGGCGCAATAATGTTGTAGCTATGTCAAATTATTCTCCATGGACGCAAGACTCGAAGGGTCGACTGTATAAGCTTGTGAAGGACAAAGGTGCGTCTTCACACATGTTCTGAGCTCTTACAAACAGACAGTTACAATTGCTAACAGATATCTATAGACGGAGAAACCTTTCCACAATATAGAGATGATGTACGCGAGGTGTCAACGTCCATCCGACAACTACCACAGTCAGTTCAACCTCTGTATTTATATAGCCCAGTGATTTGATGAAATAACTCCTCGCGGTTATCCATACACCAATTATATTGAGAGTAGTGTCTGTAATAATTTCCCGCCGGGGACCTTCTTCTATGGTATCCTTGAACAGGCAATCTTGCGAGTCAAAAGCTTCATTAATGCACGTCTGGATGGTCGTTCCGGAACCTATGGTGGTTGAAAATTCTCGTACAACTTTGGTAAAGAGAACAAGATATTCTTGAAGGGTATCGGAATTATGATGCTGATTCTCTATGTAATTGAGGTATGGGTCAGCGAGATGATTATCCGGATAATCGTGAAATCCAAGGCTTTGAGCAAGAGCTTCGCGCACAAACCCGGCCATTCTGAGGTCGATCAACTTGACGATGATAGAATGTGCAGGTAATATCACGGAAGGGGTGCTCGAAGAAGTCCAAGTGTCAAAGTACAGTAATGTTAAAGAAAAGCAAAACCAAGAAGGCAGTCTGGGGTTTTCATGCGGCTGAGCATGAGCAAGCCCCCGCCTATTTGCAGAGGCCTTCCGCTCGAGGCCGCTTGACAGCACTCGCAATCAAACGATCATTATAGAAAGACACAAAAAGTTCTAGGTCTACACAAAATAGTATATCCAAAAACATGAACGAAGCTTCGCAAATTCTTGGTGATGTTTTCTTTGACGATCACGTGAGAGGCTAGAAATCTGCGTCGGGTTCTAAGATGCTTGTCGAGGGCGATAATTCTCGGCAACAAGAGCTTTTAGCGCCTTTTCTGTCCAGTCTTCATAGCCATATGTAGTGTTTTGCCATATAGGAAGGCCCGATTCGTTGACTTTTACCTGTCCTTTTAGGACAGCGACAGCGGCGTTATTGGAGAACATTTTTATCGATTTGAGGTTGCAGGATGATGAAGCGCCGGGCTCATAACCTGTTGGATAATGCTGGTCATAGAGAGGATGATAATAGGGATTAGAGCTAGTATAAATGTGATGGACAGATAATTGTGTGTATTCAGTGAAGACGAGCTAAGTACGGATGAAGAGTTTCATCCCACAGAGGCTTATGTAAGCAGCTTAGTCCGACACAGGTTCTAAGCTCAGCCTTGCGCTTTCAGACTCGAGCTCGAGCGGCAGGTCTACTACATATTGATTAGAAGCACCCATAATATGCTGCATCCCTTTCAAAAGCAATGGACAGTGGGGCTCGCTCTGCGAGAAATGGGCTGTTCCAAGAAGTAAGATCGGGCTTCCTCGTCAAGATACTGATACAATGCTAACATGTGGAACAGCTTAAGCCTTGCTGCGTGGAGCTCAGCCAGCTAGCTCTCCGAGACGATGGGAGCTCGAATAGTACAAAATCCCTGACAGAGTCGACGAACAAGCTCCTGATTATACTTGAACAAAAGTGCATGCGGGTTGACGATGTCTTCGACGAGAAGTTAGCAGACTATGTCTTCTTTCCGCTCTCCCAAACCCTCAAGAGGAAACAAAAATACACCGATCGATTGTCCGAGTTGACGATAAAATGCCTCAGAATATTACTCGAGTATGGCTGGAGGCGGTCGATTGCTTTGGATCTTGCCAGGCAGCTCATAATTCTTCTAGCTTTCGTTGCTGGAGGCCCCCCCGATCAGAAGCCTGCTACGATATCGGAAGAGTTAGCAGCGGAAGCATATGGAGCACTCGCGGCATTGTTCAAAGACATGAAAGTCACACCTGGGGGAGCTGCTGCTTTAGTAGAGACCGGCACTATTCCAGCATTGGGACACTGCGTCACTGTGATATTGGACGGGATTACAGATGGATCATCCGTCGAAGTACAACTGCAAGCTTTAAGAGCTTTAGATGCGCTGTGGAGATGCATCAAAGACTCGCAAGCTCTCGCAACATTTCTTCCGGGAACTATTTCTGGGCTGACCAAGTTCCTAATGCCCGGTACGGCCAGCAGGAGGTCACGTAAAAATCTCGTTACTGCTTTAGAAGTCTTGGAGCAAGTTCTGATTTCGATTTTGAGCGATATACGGACCCGAACCATCAGAGACAAATTGCCTGAAGAACCAGCTGCAAGTAGCGCTGAGCAGAAGGTTCTTACCAAGCCATGGCTTAAAGCAACTACAGCGCAAATCAAACTTGCACTCTCCAGCATCATTAGACTACGTAAGCACGATGCTGCAGACGTTCGAGAAGCTCTGAACAGGCTATGCCTCACCATCCTAGACGAGTGTCACGCTACCTTGTCCGATTCGGCTTCACTGCTGGTAGAGACCTGCATGATCCTGGATGGGATTGATCAAGAAGATGATCTGAATGCCAGGAAAACTACACTTTCAGATCTTGCATCTATCCACCCTGATATTGGCGAACTTGTGAAAAATACATCATACAACTGGGTTACCAGTCTACCAAGGATCATGCAAACCAATGATGAATCTGCCAAGAACTCTGCACTTCAGCAGTTGTCTAGAGCAAATTGTTTACTCAAACAGCTCAAATCAGATTCCTCAATACTCGAGGATGCTCTTGGAAGCTCACTCAGGGACAGCATTACTGTCACCTTGGAAGCATCCCCAGCTCCAAAAGGATTGGAAGAGGCCGATTTTGACATGAACAGTCAAGCTGCCTTGACCTTGGTCGCGGACAATGCACTTTCTACTCAATTTCGACCAGTTGTTTTAGGCGAGCAGAGCCAGCGAGAGACCCGGAAAAAACTCATAGAATTATTAGATTCACTCGGTACGCGAGAGTCACAGATAAACATGGCTGGCGAGATGCTAGAATACGTTCGTGGTGCATCTGGGCAGAGTCTACTCGCAGCATATTGGCTTTCTTTTCAGGTTCTGAAATCCTCGGCATCGAAAAATGAAGATATTGACGAATTCTTCGATTCTGCCGTTACTCTGGCTGACGAGCAAGAAGCCATGAATGAAGAATTGATGTCCTATTCGCAATCTATTCTTGCCAATACCGATGGGAATGCATACGATTGGCGCATGCAGGCCATCGCATTAGAGGTGGTAGCAGACCGAGCCCAGCGGCTGAAAGAGAGCTTTCGCCCAGAACTCATCGACACGCTCTACCCAGTTGCCTCACTCCTTGGCTCATCAAATGACCGGCTAAGAGAGCATGCGATCACATCTCTCAACATCATATCCAAATCTTGCGGACACAACAACGCCAGCGAGCTTATAGTCGACAACGTGGATTATATGGTCAACGCCGTTTCCCTCCGTCTCAACACCTTCGACATATCCCCTCAAGCGCCCCAAATTCTAGTAATGATGATCCGCCTCGCGGGCCCCTCCTTGCTCCTATACCTGGACGACGTAGTAGGCTCCATCTTCGCCGCCCTAGACAACTTCCACGGCTACCAACGCCTCGTCGACGTGCTCTTCTCCGTTCTCGACGAAATCGTCAAAGTAGGCTCCACAGCCCCCCAATTCCAGCTCCCCGCTCCCCCCGAACCAGAGCAAGCCCCACCACTCCTCACAATCGCAGACATCGCCTCCCTCATAACACCCAAACCCCCATCCCCCTCCCTGGAACACGAAGAATTCCCCCGCCAGCCCTGGAAATCCGCACAAACTCTCCTTGACGAAGCAGCCGCGGCAGCAGCAGACCCCGCTTCCGACACCGAAGAAGAAGCCCCACCTCCACCACAAGACCTCGCGCCCGCCCTGCCATCGAAAACTCACCTCCTACTCCATGCCATAACATCCCACGCCCAACACCACCTAACATCCTCATCCCCCCTCCTCCGCCACAAACTCCTCACCCTAATAAACACCTCCACCCTCTCCCTCTCCAACTCCCCCTCATCCTCATCCACGGCCTTCCTCCCGCTCATAAACGACATCTGGCCAGTCCTCCTCCCCCGCATTCACGACCCCGAACCCTACGTCTCCCTCGCAGCCATGTCCACCATCCGCACCCTCTGCCTAACCTCCGGCCCCTTCCTCGCAACCCGGATAGCCGTCGAATGGGCCTCCCTGCTCGCCTTTGCGCGGAAAACCAAAACCGCAGCCCTAGCAGAGAAAAAAAGCAAAAGGGGCGTTTTTGGCGAGGGGCAGCGCATGTGGGAAGGCGTGGTTGGGTTGCTGTGTGCGGTCGTAAGGTATGTGGGCGTCGAGGAGCAGGGGTTTGCAGATGTGCTGGAGGTGCTGGGGAGCGAGGTTTGGGAGCGAGATGGAGTGAGGGAGGATTTGAGCAAGGAAAGGGGGAATGGAGACTGGGTTTGGTTGGTTTGTTATGAGGCGGGGAGGGAGAGGGAGGGCATTAGGGAAAGACCTAAGGGGGTTGGGGAGTTTGAGTTTATTGATTTGGAGCAGGTTGCATAGCTTTTTTTTTATGGCATGAGTAAAAGAGTAAAAGTACAGCGGTAAGGTGTAAGAGCAAGACTCAGATTACGAATTAAATCCAGCTATCACAATATCATAAAAGTTGCCAAGTATCATCACGCGGGCAAAGAATTTTGTCTAAAGTGGAATGCATTGATTTACCTAATAATTCTACAACGACTTTTGCGCAACGATCGATCAAAGAGTGAGTAGAGTTGAGTTGAGTAGAGCAGCACTACGAGAACAAGTCTTCCAAAAGCTAGAACCCTCAAAAAGGAAACCTAAGCACAGCATAGCGAGTCAAAGAATCCTCCAAAACATGACAATCCTATAACAACGTAGTCCAAGATATGCCAAGTCTCAAAAGCCTCCTACTCGTCATCATCTTCCTCATCATCGCTCTCGGCTTCTTCGAGCCACTTGAGGAAAACTTCAGCGGACTTGCGGACCTTTTTGCTGATTTGGATATCGACGTATTTCCTGCTGGCTTTGGTGCCCCATTTCTCAAGAACTTCTTCGGAGAGAAGATCATCGTTGTAACAGGCGAGAAGAACCTTGGAGGTCTCGTTGTAGAATTCGGGGTTGTCCTTGCCGCGGAAGCCAATGAAGCGTTCGATACCTCCAAGGAGGGCCTTTTGGTGCTTCTCAGAGACACCAACCTATTTTCATGTTAGCTATGGTTTTGGTGACATGGAGATGATGAACATACCTGCTTGAGCATTCCAGCGCGCTTAGGAATCTGCTTGGCAATGTCATCGTCGAAGATGCTCTGGACCAGGACAAGTAGAGTACGGTGCTTGTTTTCAACACCAAGCTCCTTGGCCTTCACGTAGACATCGATGCTCTCAATCTTGTCGACACCGCCTTTCTCCTTGGCTTCATTGATAATCCAGTCACCAAGCAGATCGTACTTGCTGTTACCGCCTCCTTCACCATCCTCGTCATCATCATCACCGCCGAGGACGAGCTTCTGCTTGAGGTCATCTGGGAGTTGCTGCTGACGAGCCTTGATGGCTTCGGCGGACATGTCAACAGTCCACTCATCGTCCTTGACTTCGACTTCATCACCAAGCTCTTGAGCTCCGGTCTTGATACGGCGAGTAAGTTCATCATCGCTGCCAGCCTCGACACCAAGATCTTCGCCGTTAGATCCATCAGAGTCATTGCTACCATTTCCGTTGGTATCCTTGATATCAGGAGTGCTATTTCCATTCCCATTCCCATTCTTCCTAGCCTCGCGGGCAGCCTTCTTCTCTGCTTTGTCCTTCTTGCCTTTCTTAGGTTCTTGCTTGAGGATGAAACCACTGAGCTTCAGACGAAGGTCGACATCGGAGCGAGCACCACAAGCCTTGCAATCGAGAAGAATGCGACCATCCTTGATGAATACTTCGGTCTCGGGGTTCTTGCATTTCTTGCAGAGAACAAATTTGTTGATGAAACCGTCCAGGTAATCCTGGAGCTTGGAGGCGTCGTGGGCACCGTTGATAATCCAGCGGTCATCGGAAGGGTTACTATTGGTTTGGGCACCTAATTCGAAGCCGAAGTACTTGATAACAAAAGCACCAGGGCGTGCGAGGGACTGTGCCACGCTGCTAAGGTTAACAATGACGGTCTTGATACCGTTGCCCTTGCCCTCGATCTTGGACTGGAGACGCTCCATCTTGTAGCGGTAGAAAGGGTCCTTGACATCGCTACGGATATTGACGGTAGCCATGATTGCGGTTGTTGCGGAAAGCTCGGAATAACTTCAATTTTCGGGAAATGGATCGGGGATCAAAACGACGGTTACGGGACCGAAGAGTGCGGAGTGTGACATGCAGACGAGGCGAATGTATGTGGGAGGCACGAAGGAGATGTATGAACGCTGGTTTTGCTAAAAGGACATTCGAAAAGATAGTCGAAGAAGATGCGTATTAGCCGTTGCTACTGAAGTAGGGGCTACACGGTTTTCGCGGTATGCGAAATGGTTGCAGCTCGAGCGGCGGCTGGTGTCTAAGGTCGTTGGCGTGGGGTGTGAGATACATATAACGCAGATGTATCCGTTGACGTTAAGATGGCTTTGTTTAGAAGTTTGGGAAGACCAGGCTTCCTTTGATTGTAGAGGGCGGGTCGTCTGCGTGAGACTGGCCGGATTACTTTTTTATGTCAGAGTCTGCGTCGGTTGATGCAGGATGATGGATGTGCAGTTGGTCGGCAGGGGGAAACAGTTGTCCAGTAGGCAGATTTAGCAGTTGTGCGTCTGGATGAGGTGGTACTCTGGTTATGGTTGTGCTGGTGGTGGTGGTGGTGGTGGTCTTGATGAGCAAAGACGGTGGTGGTGTTTGTAAGTTAGGAAGAAGAGGGGAGCGAAGATTTATGGTGTTCGGTGTGGTTTCCTAAGCTGAAGTTGGGGAGGGACTAGCAGTGGATGCACTAAGGTACGGGGTCCGAAATGGGACTAGCGTGAAGTGAATGGAAGATCTTTGTCTCGCTTCACATTATCACCATTGCTTGCCTCTTCATCAGCGGCGGGTATTTTCCGGAGATATATCTTCTTCTACAAGTACAACTATCTCCTCCTCTTTACCATTTCATATATTATCTTGATTACCAATACTAAAGCAAACGTGCATATAAAGTTATTCCTAATGTTTGCTGTCCGCTGGTGAACAATTCAACATATCATCACAGAGACATTCAAGGAAGGGGATCGTGGACAAGAAATTTATTCAACTTTACACGTGATTTGCTTCCACTTCCCCCGTGCTTCTCTCAGTCAAGATGGCTCCAACGAATGTGGACTATTCACTATATCTAGTGACAGATTCTACAGCTGCTATTCTCGGAGACCGAGATCTTGTAGAAGTAGTACAGGCTGCTGTCGAGGGTGGTGTGACCCTGGTCCAGTATAGAGACAAAGTCAGTGACACAGCTGTCCTGGTCTCCACTGCCAAAAGACTGCACGCCGTGACACAAAAACACAAGATTCCTCTGTTGATCAATGACCGGGTTGATGTCGCATTGGCCGTTGGCTGTGAGGGTGTCCATATTGGCCAAGATGATCTTGGTATGTGTCACGGGTACCAACCTGATATTTCACTTTTACTCGTCCTCTGACTGTTTTCCTAGACCTTCCAAGTGCGAGGAAACTGTTAGGGAGAGACGCAATCATTGGCGTGACTGTGTCCAGTGTTGAAGAAGCACAAAAGGCTTGTAAAGATGGTGCAGATTATCTCGGCGTGGGCACTATGTTTGCAACAGCAACGTGAGTGCAGCTTTGTCTTGATTCCATCGAAGCTTGGCTAAAGTTACCGCCAGTAAAAGAAACACCAAAGGTATAATCGGTACAGCTGGAACAAAAAAGATCCTGCAGGCCATTGCCGACACGGGTCGTGATGTTCGCACTGTATCCATAGGAGGCATAAACGCCTCTACAGTCCAGCGCGTCTTATTCCAATCTTCCCATCCCAAGAAGAAGCTGGACGGCGTAGCAATCGTCAGCGCAGTCATAGCAGCGCGCGACCCAAAACAAGCAGCCAAAGACCTTCTATCGCTTGTCAAATCACCACCTCCCTTCGCAGCCGCCTCGCTAGCCAACACGCAAAAAGCAACAGACATAGGCACACTCCTCGAGAAAGCCCCAACGATCATCAGGGAGGTTGGCTCCAAAACCCCCCTCTCCCACAACATGACCAATCTCGTCGTGCAAAACTTCGCCGCAAACGTCGCTCTAGCCGTCGGCGGCTCCCCCATCATGGCAAACTACGGCGAGGAAGCAAGCGATCTGTGCAAGCTCCGCGGAGCGCTAGTCATCAACATGGGCACGGTGACACCAGAGGGATTGCAAAACTACGCGCTGGCGCTAAAGGCGTATAATATAGAGGGGGGGCCTGTGGTCCTTGATCCGGTCGGGGGAGGCGCTACGGCTATCAGGAGGGCTGCCGTAAAGACCCTACTGGCAGCGGGGTATTTCGATGTCATCAAGGGCAACGAAGGGGAGATAAAAACAGTCTTCGGAGCAGTAGTACAGCAAAAGGGCGTAGATAGCGGTGCCAGCACCCTCAGCGATCTAGAGAAAGCAACCTTGGTCCGCGACCTCGCGGCACGCGAAAGGAACGTGGTGGTCATGACTGGCGCGACGGATTTCGTCAGTGACGGCCTGCGAACCTACGCCATCAAGAACGGGCATGAGCTGCTGGGCCGCATCACGGGCAGTGGTTGTGTGCTGGGGACTACGATATCATTGATGCTAGCTGTGTGTCGCGAGGACAAACTCCTAGCTGCGGTAGCTGGGCTGCTGCATTATGAGATTGCGGCCGAGATAGCTGCGGAGAGAGAAGACGTCAAGGGGCCGGGGACATTTGTACCAGCTTTGATTGATGAGCTGTATAACGTGCAGAAAAGTACAAGCGGGGGAGATATCTGGTGGTTGAAGAGAGCCAAAGTCGAAGCAGTAGATATATAAACCATCACTCATGAAATAAGGAAACATAGTTCATAAAAGCCATTCACAGTATAGACATGCCATTCCATTCCATTCCATCCCAATACAACCTCATTTCTGAACCCATCTAACGGTTCCATCTAACCCATCCTACAATAAATACAAACCCCCCTCCCTTCTCCCAATTCACCCCACCCCACCTCACATCTTACTCAAAAGCGTCCCCACAACCTCCCTCGTAGCCCCACTACACTCCTTAACCAATCTCGCCACATCCTTGAACTCGCCGAGTGCCGCATCGCCCATACACTCGTACATAAAACCTAACACCACATATATATCAGCACACCTACTTATATATATCATCTCTTCCGAATCCTCTCCTTCTAGAATTCTTACTTGTATATATATAAATGCAGGGAAAATGGAAGAAGGAAGAGGGAGGGGGAAAGGGAAAAAGGAAGCCTACTCTCAGAACTAGTAATCACGGCGCCCTCCCCCCTCAACCGCGCCAGCGCAATAGGGATTTCCTCGCGGTTACACGAACTTACTCCATCTGCAATCTAGACAAGACACATCAAGCACTTTATCAGCTATATGTTCCTCAAAAAAAATCCCCCAGAAAACCCCTGAAACCCAAACCCCAAACCCCAAGATCCAAATTCCAAATCCAATTTCCAAATCCAAATTCCAGATCCGAGAGAAATGAGAGGAGCTTGGTTTAGGTATTGTATTGTATTATAAGGCTTGGTGAAGTGAAGTGAGGTAATAGGACTTAATACGCACAATATAAACCCTATGTCCCGCTCCCAGGGCATCCAACGCCGTCTGCGTCACGCAGATATGGCTTTCAATGCCCACGATGACAATCTCGGCCTTCTCGCCTTCGAAATGTCGCGATATTGCAGGGATCCACATGCTGAATGCGGTTTTATCTGTATGTTCTACTACATTCATAGACATGCCTCCCTTACCATTACCCTCACTGCCATTTGCATTTGCATTTGCATTCCCGTTTAGTGTCTCAGGGTTGGGAGAGAGAGAGAGAGGGAGATGGAAAAGGCAGGCTTAGTTCAGGACATGTCGGGCCCAGACGAGCCGAGTTCTGCGTGGTGGCGTAGATTGGGATCGAGAGGATGGATGCGAAACGGAGGAGTTTTTGGGTTGTTGATATACTGTTGATTAAAATTAATTAATAAATCAAAGTAAAAAATAACCTTGAGATCCCATATTTGGTTACTGTAAAAGACAGGGAAGGGGGAAGAAGGTACATGGAAGCATATTCCCAAACCACAGGACGGAATTTCTCTTGTATATCGCAGATGCTAAGTGCGCGCTAATCAGTATGCAGCTCTTGCTTCTTCTATCCCATTTTCTCCTATCCCATCTCTCTCTCTTAGGGAGCTTGGGTATGGATGTGAGGGGGACGGACAAAAGGGCTGGGTTTTCTGGGAGGTGGGGTGGGGTTGTTAGCTTTGTGGATGGATGGATGAATGGGAATGGGATTGGGGATTGGGGATTGGGGGGTGTACTTAGACGGCGAGATGGCTTAGTTGACATTTTTGCGGTTAGGAGTTTGCTTTTGATGGCGAGGGAAACTAATTGAGGGACGTGAAGTCGTGGTGGCATTGTATATTCTTTGGAGTGAGGTGGGGTGGATGGAGGGGACGATGTCGGGAGCAGGGGTTAGATGCAGGGGTACAATGGACGGGGTATTTCCGGGGTACAAAGACTAGACTAGCCCGTGCCCGTGACAAAAAAGATCATCTTTTATTACTTATAGATTTCAAATGATCATAGCATTTGTTCTACAGGTACAAAACTTTCATCTTACACTGGAAGTGGAAGTGGAAGTCACCACTTTCGTCTAATCCTCCTCCTTTACAAAAGCCTTCTCAGCACTCGGCTCCATATCATCACCATATAAATCCTCACCCTCCGCAACCCTATTAACCTTCACTGCTCCCCTCACGACAGCAATCTCCTTCCTGATTCGAATCGCCTCGCGTACACTCGCAAGTTCCCTCTGCAGCTTAATTTTCATCTTACTATTAGCCTTCTTCTCCATCTCGATTGCTCCCTTGAGATCCTCATTATTCTCCCCGTTTTCCTTGTCATCCTCATTATTCTCCCCGTTTTCCTTGGCATCCTCCTCCTTCTCTTTTACGTGCGCTTCCCAATGCTCCTCAAATTCATTTATCTTCGAGAGTTCCTCGTCCAGTTTCTGCGCGCCTTGCTGAAGCTCGATATACTCGTCATACTGTTCCCTCCCCCCGAAACAGATGTGGTAGAGTCGGCAATACGCTTTGTGCTCGAGGGGGCAATCTATGGCTTTTTGTAGGAAGAGGTATTGCCACATGTGTTCCCATGTCCTCCCGCTAATAGCGTCTTCGAGAGGAGTGTGTAACAGCCAATCAATGTGATGCTTATATTGCTCCTTTGGGACTGACAGGATGCGTTCTTTCGTCACTGCGATCTGCGAACAGCACGGTGTGGCAAGGATCTCGGGGATATCGTAGAGGTTGAAGTTTGCTCGGAACGCTTCTTGCATTTCTTTTTGCTCGGGAAGGACTCCGGATTCTTCGTTCACTCGAGTGGTGTTGATTGCGCCTGTCATGCACCCAAACCCCCAGGTAACTCTGAGGTTGAGGAATTGTCTTTGCTGGACTTCTCGTAGATCGAGGTGGTTAAGGGAGAATATCATACTCTGGTCCAGTATATCATCCACATGCCAAGAGTGTGATTGAGAGTGAACAAGAATGGATATATCAGGGAGGTTGTCGTAGAAGTCGTAAAAGTATTGAAGATACATCATAGCTTCGTGGCCTTTATTCATCTGCGGATGGTGCGGTGCACTCATGTTGTCCGCAATGTATGGAACCACGACCATGCCTGGGACCTTGAGATCGATTTTGGCCCATGAATAATCTTCGTTTGATGTTGCTGCCACGACAAGATTGACGCTCGGCAATGCTCCCTTGGGGACTCGATAGGCTCCTCCAGATTGCTTGACCGCATGTTGCTCGATGACCTCTATGGGGAGCTCGTGCATATGACGCCGGCTGACAAAACAGATGAAGAGGAAGATTGCGGCAGAGAGTGACAAGAGGACCCGAGAAGTCCTGTGTCTGTTTGACACTGGAGACAGCATTTTGCCGGGGCGAAAGAATGACAAGGTGTGGAATTCATGACATTGTTGGAAGTCTTGAGTAGAAAATACAAGTTCTGAGAAAGCAATTCTCTTCATGAAGAGCTAGTAAAGGGTATGCAAAGGAGTGCGCAAGGTGAAAAGAGCTCAAAATTGGAAGAATGCAGAGGTGGGAATGCAAAGCTGTCAAGATTGATCGCTAGGGAAAGTAAGGGGTGGTTTTCAATCCAACTCACAACACCAAGCGGAGGTGTCCCTTTTACCATCATGCGGCACTTCCATGATATGATGAATCACTTTCGACTTGCTATTCCTGAAGGAAGCTGTAAAACAAAAGATTCAGCTCCGAACAGCCTGTACTCGTAAATGTAACCACAAGAAGAAGGGTTTTAATGGAAGGGAATATTTCAAATGATTCCTCTGAATGAGAAGATTAAAGATTTGAAAGGTAGATTCTAGAAAGTTTGGTTTCTTGATACATCATGAAGACGTAGGGCCGTGATTGCTTTTCTTTCCAGGAGTCGAACTTTTCTAGGAGAAAACGAAACGCAACGCAACGCAACCCAGCCCCTGAGGACACTGATTGTGGTTCACGGAAACGCCACCATCCAAGGTCCAAGACACACAAACTTAGCACAAGAATAGGACAGACCAGAATTGAAGGTGATGCAAGCATACCATATAAATACCTACCCTTAGTGTGGATGCTCCGACTCTTTGAGGATTTCCCTTGATTTATTACATGCATACAGTATTCGAATCCGGATGACACCCGGCAAGAGTCGAGGTGTAGATAGCATCTTCGGAGGGACTACGGCATATTGAAGATAAATACTCCAACCTCACTCACTCACCTACATACCACCAAGCCCAAGCCAAGGTAATCAATCAATCGTCTGGAATATATACCTCGGCAGCATCTGGGCCGGATTTCTCCGACATCGGAAAGCTGGCAAGCGACATCTTCCGATTCCCCGCGTTTTCACAAGCTTCATGCAGGTACTATGAAGAGAGGAAGATGAACGTGAAAGAGCATCTGTGGAATAGCAACTCACTCCGCTTATCCGACCGAGACCAAGACCAAGACCAAGAGTTAACAAGAGACACTGCATGCTTTTCACATACATCTATCTACTCGTACTCCAACACATCTTCTATCAAGTATTTTTCGTGTCAAAGGGAGCATCCATTGTACTGTACCATCTAACGGGTCAATTTCAAGCTACCTCTCCAGATATCCCTCCGTTGCGCCGAGCTAAAAAGGTATCGAGAAGCCAGAAGCTGAGCAGTCCAAGCCAAGCCAAGCCAGGCCAGCTCCCGGCTCCACACATGGCCTTTCCTATCCAGGGAGCAGCCTTTGTTCTTCGTGGGGATAGGCCAGGGATAATATATGGGGGGTATGACATGACCTATGAACCGCGGATCGAGCTCGGTAGGGGACTCATATCACCACCGAGCTTCACTTTCTTCTATTTCCTGTCGCCTTTCTTCCCACACTCTCATATCTTCACATTCCTTTCAATCCCAATCTCTATCTTCATCTTCCCACTACTCAAGTTGCATTTAGCTATTCATGCCCTCTACATCTTGCAGAAAGAAGTACTGTAGGTAGTGAGTGAAAGAGAGGTCCCTTCATCCGAATCAACATCAAAACCGGCGCAACCTGCCCCAAACCCCCACAACAGCTCTCAAAATGTCTGCAAAAAAGGCAGAAGGTATAGGAGGCAAGAAGCCAGCTTCGGCGGCTACAAACTTAATTGGTAAGTTCTATTGTATTCCTAAAACCAACTACCAAGTATGCAGGCTAACATCAACATCACAGCCGGAGGAACAGCAGGCATGATGGAAGCTCTCGTATGCCATCCCCTCGGTATGTATTCGATGCCCTTCCATCCCTTCCCACACACTGTACTCTCTTTTAATAACTAACCCTCCTCCAGATACAATCAAAGTACGAATGCAGCTCTCCAGGAGAGCGCGCGCCCCAGGCGTCAAGAAGCGCGGTTTCGTCGCAACAGGCGCAGAGATTGTGAAGAAGGAAACCCCGTTGGGTTTATACAAGGGTCTGGGAGCCGTTGTGACGGGTATTGTGCCGAAGATGGCGATTCGGTTTACGAGTTTCGAGGCGTATAAGAAGCTGCTTGCGAACAAGGAGACTGGGCTTGTATCTGCACAAGCTACGTTTTTGGGTTAGTATTCTGCTTTCTTTCTATCCTCTTACTTTGCCCTGTTATTTCACTTGCGGACGTTTCCAGAATTGGGTGGGAAAAGGCAAAGGAACTGTGGACTTCAAAAGAAACTACAGACACTTTCTCTCTTTTCTTCTCTCCTTTCTTCCTCTCCAAACCACCCAACTTTTATCTACCTACCCAGCTAACCCTTCTCTCTTCTAGCTGGTCTCTGCGCCGGTGTAACCGAAGCCGTCGCAGTCGTAACGCCCATGGAAGTAATAAAAATCCGCCTGCAAGCCCAACACCACAGCATGGCCGACCCCCTCGACATCCCCAAATACCGCAACGCAGCGCACGCGCTCTACACGGTCGTAAAAGAAGAAGGCATCTCCGCTCTGTACCGCGGAGTATCCCTCACCGCCCTTCGCCAGGGAAGTAACCAAGCGGTAAACTTCACCGCGTACACGGAATTCAAAGAGATCCTGCAGCGCTGGCAACCGGCGTATGCGGACGCGCCGCTGCCCAGTTACCAGACGACGCTGATAGGTCTGGTGAGTGGCGCCATGGGGCCCCTGAGTAATGCGCCCATTGATACTATCAAGACGCGCTTGCAGAAGACGCCGGGGGTGCCCGGGGAGACGGCAGTTAGTCGCATTAGGGCGATTGCGGGGGATATGTTTAAGTGAGTTGGCCTGCCCTTCCTCCCTCTCCCTCTCTCTGCCTCCTTAAACCCCATTTCTTCCTTCCCCAAAACCCAAAAAATAAAATCCTATATGTGTGTACTCGGAATAGCCGCTAGATGGCAAGGGAATTGATTGATATTGGAATTGCTATCCAACACAAGCTAACGCAACACCCAAATCAGACAAGAAGGATTCCACGCCTTTTACAAGGGCATTACGCCACGCATCATGCGTGTAGCGCCCGGCCAAGCGGTGACGTTTACGGTGTATGAGTATCTGAAGGAGAAGTTGGAGAATAGTACGATGCCGATTGTGGGGGGAAAGTATGAGGAGTAGGGGTGGGGTTTGGTAGGGGTTGGGAGGTGGGAATAGGGAATAGGGAATAGGGAGGAGGAAAGGCATTAGAGAAAGATCTAGTGTTGGCATGTTCATTTTCATTCTTCATCCCATTTGTCATATAGGAGCATAGGCCAGCATAGCGTCCTACTATCATCTATCTATTCACACTTCTCGCTTCCCCAGCAAGTATTTCCTCTTGGTATCCAATTCCATTCCATCATAACTTGATCCCAACACCGAATTATTTCCTTCCCGGTCTCTTCGGTCTCTCAAACGCCTTCTTAACCTCCACCTTTGGATGTAGATCCCCCAATACGCTTTGCTCCGTTACATCCTCCGGGCTACTCTCCTCGATCTTCTTCTCAATCTTAAGCCCGGCTTCAGCTTCCGCAATCTGCACAGCAGAGCGAGAAGATGCAGCATACAACATTCGTTCCTTGATCTTCGAGCCCGAAGGACAAGTATAGATGAACAGTATCGGCGATGTCTCTTCTCCAGCATGCGTATGCGTAAAACGATAAAACGAGTACCTAGGTTCGGTAGAACTGATCGTCGATGCCAGACCACCAATCGGCACGCTGGTACTAGAAGCCAGCTCCATGGTCTCAGTCGCGATATTGATTTTCTGCCCCCACATTAGCCCAACCATCCCAATTCCCAACTCCCGCAACAAGAGAACAAACCAATTGCACCAGATTATCACCCCCTTCCCCAACCAGCCTTTTCAAAGCCTCCACCGCTTCCGGGGTAACAGGCATAGCAACGCCACTACTAACATGACTCCTTCTCTCCCCGGCGCCCCTGCCTTCCTCCGCCTCCTTCCGCTTCACCTCACCCAGACTGACCTCCTCCTCCGTGAGTGGCGCCGCCAGGGCCTCATGCTGATCATGCCTCTTGAAGCCCTCGGCACTCAACTCCTCTTCCTTGGTAGCGAAAATGGTCTCCTTGAAGCGTTCGATGCCGAGTTCGCGCACGAGCGTCAGGCGCGTGGACGCGAAGAGCATTTTCTGGCGCACGGGCGCGGCATCAGGCACGTAGGTTATGGCGATGAAGGGTGCAGGGTTGGTGGAGGGGTAGCGGCGGAGGAGGATGTAGAGGGCTTGTTTTGGGGTCAGGTGCGGGGTTAGGAGGGAGAGGTCGGTTTCGAAGGATGAGGTGGAGGGCTGGAGGACGGTGAGGGGGACGAGGGTTTCTTTTTCATGGTTATGAGGAGGCCGCGTTGGGTGGGGGAGGAGACGAGGGTTTGGAATGCGGTCTTCAGTTCTTGGGATGCTGGAGGGCGTGGGGTGTTAGAAAGGTTGGTTTTAGTGGGTGGGTGAAGAGAGGGATTGGAGTACCTGAGATTCCGGACTGCATTTTGTCTACTCTTTTGTGGACGACCGGGAAGAGAGAAAGAAGGAATGTAGGTATTGTTAGGAACAGCTCGAGGTTGATGAACGCAACAGAGGCTCTTGGTGTTTGAGAGTTGTTGGAGGGGTAGCGATGGAAAGGGTAAGGCGTGGTGTCATGCAGAGTGGTCTGTGTGGTGGGGTAAGCTCTCAAAGCTCCTTCCCTTCTCCTTCTCCTTCATTCGTAATAAACTTCACATCATTATTACTATTATTATATTCATTGGCAAGAACCACAAATATTTAAATATATCCTTAGCTTTGGTCAATATGGAAGGTGCGCAGCGCACCACGAGTAGCTTAATAGGTAAGCAAACGTTTCTTCTTTTTCATCCACCAGCGAAACAGCGGCGATTCCACACATCTGGATTGAATGCTGTGTTGTAATTCACAATAATACCAACCGGCACCGGTCCAAATCGCATCGACATGTCTCTCCCAATTTCTGGTTCCAATGGAGATGGGGTGAATATAAGTGCTCCAAATGGCAATGGCAATGGAAATGGTCTGAATTCATATGGTCAACCAACACCCAACCACGGCACCTCAACTCAAGGCCCTTCTATCAGAGACAGACTGAAGATCGTCCCAGATTTTCCCGTCTTATTGCCTATAACTGGGACCCAATACAATCCACCTCCATACCCAGTGATGCCGGTTCTACAATATCATCCATCAGCCCTGATATCCGCTGTACCTTCCCCACCATCCACATCCACATCTACATCTACAGCTACCGTATCTCCTTTCATGGATCCCGCTACTCCTCTAACGGTGCCTACTCCATCATCACCACCGGTCCCCACTTCACCTCCAAGGACCATCGTTGTTTCTGCAGAACCTACATCTACATCAACCCCCAAGACAAAAACTGACAGATCATCTGCACTCACAGACCGCGAAGAGCGCGCTATAGCCAACATGCTAACCCGGTTCCGAAATCTGGTGCAGTTGGCCGCCATGCAGAAGGATGACAAGGGGGATAGCGCTACGCAGGAAGTAGCTGCGACGCAAGCCTTCGCATTGGAAGTTGAGAGCGCTGCGCTGGTATGTTGACTCCTCCCTTCTCTCTCCAAAATTCCAAGAAACCAGTAAAAGTAAAAGTGAAACAACGAAACAGAGGTATAGGAAGTACTGACATGACAGGAACTAGGTACGAGGAGCGGAAGATTTACTTCGACTTAGTCGAGAGCTGAAAGAGTTGTGGCTTTTTGGACCGCTGAGGGGTATTGGTGAGGGAGAAGGAGAAGGGAAGATTGATGAGGATGCTACGAGGGTCGGGGAACTATTAGAGGGGAAGTTAAGAAGTGATGCTGAGAAATCTGCTGCTGGATCTGGAAATTAAATCTTAGATTTGCGTATGGGTTTTGGGCTACACGGCGTTTCAGAGGCGCAAGAAAAGGTTGGCTGGCATTGGGAGGGCGTCTGGCTGGGATATAACCAAAAAGGCTGGATACGAAAATACCATACCATACGATACCAAGTGTTAGACAAACCGAAAAGAAGCATTTACTTACCACTAACCATGTTCGCGCGTAACATCTCTTGGGATTTAACGCCATCGCCATCTTATTCATTCAAATATTGACCGTGAATTTTCTATTTTCAAAACCCCTCATGCTTTTATCATATGAACATTCAGCCAACGGTTTCTTTCTTCCCAACCTCATTCATCAGTAGTACTATTCAGAAAGTACTATACTACCATAACCATACTACCGTACCCAGTAGCATATCGCATCTCATCTCATCTCAGCTCAGCTCAGCTCAGCTCAGCTCAGCTCAGCTCAACCCTCCCGTCCATCAGCATCAACCTCATTATCACTAGCCCCCTCGTCCAAGTCCAGAAACTCGTTCCTCACCTTGCTCTGCTTAGCAGCTGCAAGGCCACCAGCCGTGACCCAGAGGAAGAAGTCGGATCGGAAGCAATCGATGTGGTGGAAGAAAGCGTGGAATCTGGAATCGAGGTTAGCTTTATTTACTGTGGTATCGTATTCCTATTTTCTAGTTCGAAAAATGGAGTTGAGAAGGGTGTGGAATGAAAAGGCTTGAACATACTGATGATCCCTCTCCTCCTCCCTAAAAATGCGGTCATAAATCTCCCTCTGCTTAAACTCCTCCATCTCCGCCTTCCACTTATCGAAATCGATCTTCTCGCGCTCGAACTTACTAACCGCCTGCTCATTATAACTATCAAACACCGGTCTCTCCAACAACAAGCCCAGTCCGGGAGCTTTCGGGATACTAATGGGCGCGTGTCCAAAGCTGTCCGTCATGACACTGAGATCAGTTCCACAGCGCACGACGAGGGCAACCATGGCGACCATCTTGCGGATCTGGTGCATCATGAAACTCTGGCCGTGCACTTTGAGGGAGAGCCATTCGGTGGAGTTGATGTAGACGGGATCGGCGCCGACGGTGAAGGAGCGGATGACGCGTTTTGCGGACGGGTCCGAGAAGAGCTTTTGGATGGTGTAGTTGTGGAAGTTGCGCGTGCCGATGTAGGTGGAGAGGGCTTCTTGGACGCGGGCTTTGCGGGGCGCGGAGATGCGGTAGGCTTTTTTGGCTTGGATGTAGGCTGCTTTTATGCGTTTTACGGCCGCTTCGTGGGGAGTGAGGATGGACTTTGAGGGGGCGGGTTCAGAGGTGGTAGTGTCTAAGGCTTCAGGTTCGGAAGTAGTAGCGTTTCCATCTTGAGCGGATGCGAATGAGGTCTCCTCTCCCATAATAGGAACCGTAGCCTCTTCTTTTCCTAGATCCGTCTCTACCTTCTGTTCGTTTGTTGGGCTAGATCTCGCTTCTCCGGACGTGCCATTCTCTGCTAGTTTTGACTCATCTTGGGGCTTTGGGTCCTCTTGAATTGCATCTGGATGGCTTTCTGGCTCGGCTTTGGTCGTTTCGCCCTGTTCCTTTGCGGAGGCGGCAGCTTCCTTGGATTTAGCAGCCTTTGATTTCTTCTTTGTTCCCTCTGGTAGATCCTCAGTTGCATGGACTTCAGCCATAACAGCTTCCCGCAATTCTGGGTCAAGCTCATCCAGTATAGGCTTGATGAACTCTTCATCCGCCTTCTCCCAGAAATCAGCAACATCCGCTTGTCGAGCCTTCCATTCCTCAAGCACACCCTCTTTCTCGGCATGTTCAACCAGCTTCTTGCCCATATAGCTTTTTGGATGCGGTGGAACAAAAGCAAAGGTGGGAATCAGGTATTCATACCATCTTGAATCGCAAGTCTGGTAACAACTGAAGGACGCATTTGTTCTTTCCATGCCCCATATTCTGATCTGAGGAGGTAGATTGTCGTTAATTTTCTGAACAATTTCTGGATCTTCCACAATAAGCTTAAGGGAAATGACATTGCCCGCAGCATGTACACCTTTGTCCGTACGAGCACAGCGAACTAGAGAGGACTTCTTTGGGTCATCTGCGTTGGCCTTGGATATTGCGCCGGCCGCCACAAATGCCTTGAAGATATCTCCTTCAATTGTCTTCTCTTGAGTGTTGATCTGCATGCCCTTGTATCCTGATCCAGCATATCCAATCAGCACTGCGACCTTTCTCTTAGGTTTTCGACCATCTGCCTCGATTTCCTCTTTCGAAAACTGAGTGGAGGCATAGTCGCCTGCTTCTCCGGTTCTCTGGCGCTTGCCATCTTGATTCTCATCGTCACGCTTCCTCCTGCCTAGGTCAGTACGACTTGTTTAGTTAGTCGCGCAAGAAATAAGGGATTAAAAGGACTGACTTCCACTCCCCGCGGCCCATCTCCCCTTTCTTGAAGCGACCTCCCGCCTTATTTGCCCCAAAATCCCCACCCCTTCCCCTCCCCCTACTACGACCCCGGTCCCCTCTGCCTCTCCCACGATCGCCGCGCCCGCGGTCACCCCGCCCTCGGTCACCCCGCCCTCTTTTGTCACTGTGGTTTCTCCCATCTGAGCCTGGCGAACGAGCACGTTTGTTCCCATGAGCCTCGTTACTACCCTCGGGTTTACTTGGCGCAGCTGAAGTAGGGTTGTCTGCCATTTTGAAAGTTGCTGAAATCCTTTCATAGCACTCAATTGCCAAAGTTAAGCAAGTGGTAAAACCCACGGCCTTGAGTCTGGAAAAAGATTCTGATAGCCTGATTAGGCTTGGCATGCGGCCGCTAGCGTCACGCAGCCTCGTCGCAACTTCAAGGCTTCCTTTGGGATTTCTGACGACCCCGTGAATAGCGTACCAACATCAATACTACTATTGTCTCGACCTACCCAAGGCCGGACATCGTCTTGGTCAGTTACTAACCCTCATTATCCACTCGCCAACACAAGCCGGTGTCGAGTTGAATAATGGGCGCCTCCCAATCTTGTTAATAACAAGACCTTTCCTTTCCTTGTTCTCCTTGGTCCCACGGATTCATTATCTCCAACTCGCAGCCTTTGTTGTGCGGGCTTCCGATCCTTCGTCTTCATCGTCTCGAACTTGAGGCAAATATATCCAGTCCGCCGATACACAACCAGCGCAACCATGGATCTCGCCCAGATGCTTGTGCGCTCCTGCGTGCGCTCGTTCTACGATACCAAGCATATTCTGGTCATTGATGCACTGATTATCCACTCGGCGTATGTATTTACTGAGGGCTTGGTGTATGAATTCTGAAGAGAGATGTTGACACAATCAATAGCTTGCGTGACGATGACATGGCCTATCTCATGGGCATGAATACGAAAGAGCTCCATAAGCTGTGTGGTCGACTGAAGGAGGATAGGTTCCTCGCCGTGTAAGTGCTTCTCTTGGTAATTGAGGCTGGGCGCAAATGTTTATCTTCAAACCCACTAGACATACACGCCCCGAGCTCAAAGAAGGTCAGCAACGTCCATTGAATCGAACCTATTACTACATCGACTACCGTGCTACAATTGATGCCATCAAATGGCGGGTCTACCTCATCGACAAGCAGGTCCAGGGAAATACAGTACCAGAGATGGAACGAAAGGAGTTCTTCTGTCCAAGGTGCAAGTCGGAATGGACACAAATGGAGGTTCTGGACAAGTATGGGCCGCAGGGCTTTTTATGCCACCGATGCGATTACATTCTGGAGCAACATGACCCGAACAGCAACAGCCGTGGAGGGCATGAACAATCAACGAAGCTGAACGCCCAATTCAAGTTTATTACCGACCTCTTGCCCAAAATCGATGGTGTCGTCGTTCCAGAAAATACGTTTGAGCAAGCTCTAGCCTCTGCCCGAAAAGTCAATCGCGATGAGACAAACCCCGCGTACGAAACAGCACCTCTTGATGCTGCAGTCGAAAGACCAACGGCGGTCCGAGGTATGGCAAATGTTGCGCCTCAAACGATATCTGTCACCCTCACGGCATCTGAGGGTCCTACGGATGCAGACATTGCTGCTGAAAAAGCAAGAAAGGAGAAGACGGCACATCAAAATGCCCTGCCCGTCCATTTCACGCATAGTACAATCAGTGGTGAGCAAGTAAGATTCAATGGAGATACAGCAGCACTGTCTTCTCAACCCCGGGAGCCAGACAAGAAAGACATCGGGTTTGACACTCCATCCGCCAATGGAGACGTCGAGGGAATTGATGATTACTTTGCACAGCTCAAGGCAGCCCAAGCAAAAGAAGCTGAGCAAGAGCAAGAAGAAGAGTTCGAGACTGATGATGAAGAAGAAGACTTTGAAGATGTGATTCCTGGAACGGCCTCTGGAGTTGGCACTCCCTCTAGTTCAGTTGGCGGAGAAGTAAAGCCTACCTCGGCACCTTATGCAAGCGGCTTGACAGGTGTATTGAAGAAGGGCGGCAGCGCTTCGGGGAGTGGTACCAGCACAGGCGTAACTAGTCCGGTGACAGGACCAGGCACGCCAGAAGATGGTAGACCGCCGAAAAGGGTCAGGATTGAGGAGCCAGTCGTGAAAGATGAAGAGGAGAGTGAGGAAGACGTCGAGTTCGAGGATGTATAAGAACTGTGGGTCAGCACCACATACTACAGGTTTAGAAAACCGATGAAGGCGTTGGGGAAAATTTGCTCTTCGAGGTTTCCTCAGTATACCTTTATGGCATTGCGCCGGCTAGGCGGCGGTTTTAAAAGAGCGCGTGTGCGCTCAAGCTGCGGATGGACATATAATAAATGTACAACAACAATGGCGCTTTCCCAAAGCCGTGAAGTATTGAGTAGAGTGTGATTTAAAAGCTACCCTACAATAAAGTCTTGAAGCCGCAAAGCGCTATATAAAATTACTCTAAAATTGCAGAGGGACTTGTAAAGGATGTTTTTATATTTCCAGATTAGGCAAGAGGGGTTGCAATTACGTAATCGATACTGAATGAAATAAGGTGAATCGCCACATATCTTTAAACATTACCTCCCCTTCACATTGCAAAGCTTTGGAATATAATGTAATCCTCAGCTCCGAAACACTCCAACAATTTCATTTAGACCCTGCTACACGAGTCCTTTCGAACCGACGCAGAATTCCCTGACGGTACATATACGTAGAGGTCAAGGGCCGCTGTCGTCCATTTCGCAATGATCAACCTCCTCGAGCCAAGCTGAGATGGCTCTCGAATTCCCACCAATATACCTACTCAAGGCCCATTTCAAGGATATTTCCGAACTTAATGCTCTTGGTAAAAAGATAGGCGTAGTGTTCAATACCAAAGAAGAAGCCGTCAAATTGTTTCTGGCCCATGAGAAACTCAAATCTAAGGTGCGAATAGAATGGGAGCTTCGTCAAATTGGCATTACTACGGAAGCAGTGTTCAGAGGCCCGGGGTTAAATCATGGTGAAAAGGAACAAACTCAAAAGGGGTCACCACCACGGAAGCGACGCAAGGTCGAGAAGAATAGTGATGGCAGGGATCTGATAGTCCTCGATTCTAGCACTGAGTCTGAGGCTGAGTCCGAGACCGAGTCGGAAACCGAAAGGAAGTCACCAAGGTCTTCTAGGACTACCAGTCCAAGTAGTCCAACGTTATCCCGAAACTTTCCTACGGAGTCAGATGGATTTCCTGCATGGGACAAGGATATCATCAAAGTTTTAGGAGTTGCTTGGTATGACGACTCAGTCAAAGCCGGACAGCTCCTGCCAACTGAGAGATACCTAGTCTATGAAGGAAGAGTCGTGTCAGCGCCTAAGCCTGCATGGCGTATCCACAACAAGCCGCATGAGCCCCTCAAGATATTGCCACTACCTGAAGCAACTGGTGCAAAGCCTTATGACAAGTACCGAGATGGGAGATCCAAACCTCACACCACCAGGGGAAGGATCCATACACCACATCTCATACACGAGACTACTTCCGACCGCGAAGAGGAGTCTCAAATTCCAGATCTTCCAGATGACCTAAAACAGCCCTACTCTTGCAAACGGCAAACTCCCCTCCACACACCAAATGATAGCTTTATCGCGCAACTGAAACTCATCAAAGAAGCTCGCCTCCTCACAGACGCCGAGGAGAGTAGCAGCGAGTGGTCTGTTCGCGCCTATACCGGTGCAATCTCATCTATAGCCGCCTATCCATTCAGTCTAACCTCCGCCCGCGAATTGAGTCGCCTTCCTGGCGTAGGATCATCCACCGTGGAGTATTTCAAGGAGTGGAAACGGTACGGGCACATCACGGAAGTAGAGAATATGAAAAAGGACGAGAGAATCACGACCTGGCGTAGTTTCTACGGCATTTTCGACGTAGGGGCAAAAACTGCCAGGGACTGGTACAACAAAGGCTGGAGAGATCTTGACGATGTGGCACAAGGTTTTGGCAGTCTCTCAAGGAGCCAGCAAATCGGCGCTAAATTCTACGAGGAGTTTGAGGAGAGGATGTCGAGAGATGAAGTGGAGAACATCGGAGCTGTCGTTTTGCATGAGGCGAACAGGAAAGAACCAGGTTTCGAGATGGTGATATGTGGTGGCTACCGACGCGGGAAGCCCGACATGGGGGATGTTGATGTGGTATTGACGCATCGGGACGAGAATGCTACTCTTAACTTCATTGGCCGGATTCGAAAGAGACTAGAGAAAACCGGTCACATCACGCACTCACTCCGGCAATTTGATACGAACAGCAAAAGAGGTCAAGACCCCCTAGCTTGGAAGGGAAAAGTCAAACCAGGAGGCAAGAAAGCGGGATTCGACACGCTGGATAAGATATTCGTGGCTTGGCAGGACCCGGAATGGCCTTCCAAGGCAGAAGATCTGGAGAGGAACCCTCAGGCGAAGAATCCGAATATACATAGGAGAGTCGATATAATAGTCACGCCTTGGAAAACAGCTGGATGCGCCATTGTGGGGTGGTCTGGCGGCAATATGTTTGAGAGAGACCTGAGGTTATATTGCAGGCAGGAACTTGGATACAAGTTCGATAGCAGTGGGGTGAGAAGATTGGATAATGGAGATTGGGTAGACTTGGAGGCGGGCGCTGATACTTTGTTGGAAAAGGAGAAGAAAGTATTTGAGGGGCTTGGCTTGAAGTGGATTGAACCTACGATGAGGTGTACCGAATAAGTTCTATCAGTAGATATTGGATTAGGGAATGTCCTGGGAGTCTTGGACCAGGTTATTTGCGCGAGGTGAGGGATTATAAATGTACTTTGCCTGCCAGTGGACGAGTTACCTTTTAGCAAATTATAGGGAACTGAATTTAAACAAACACAAGAGCACACTTTGATCAATGTAATCATGTTTGCACATCTACTTCTAACATACGCTGCCCATCCTATCATTCAAGTCCATCCACTTATCCCACTTTCTCATCATCCCAAACCTGTAACCAACGCCCACCGCGACTTCCAAGCAAGAAAGGAAGTACCCAGCACAGCCACAGTCTAATATACAGAAATACAGATTAGATGAATTTCAAGAAAATTTTTGGTTTGTGCGTGCTCTCTATCCCCCGAAACACCGGTGCATGGCATTGCATGCTTTAAAAAGGAGTGTTGAACGCTTGCAAAGGAAAATGAAACAATCGATTTTTGAATTCAAGCGGCGATAGAGGTCTGCGCTGGAGGGGTAGGTAGTCTTTCCTGTTCACCCTCAACTGATTCGTCTGTGTGGTCACCTGCATAGTGTTTTTCGGAGAAGTATGATCGAGAAGGCGAATTCGAGGCCTCCGGTGTGTAGAACATCGCTTGCTGATTTGAGCTTCCCGGACGATTGAGGTAATCTTGGTCCTCTTCCTCATCTTCCACTGGAGGTAGAGGCGTTCGTCTCCCGTCCTCCGAGAAACTGATGGCTGCCTCGCTATCTTCACCATCTGATGTTACAATAGCCGGGATACCTGTTGGATGTAGCCTCTTATGAAGTTCCCTGAAGCTTTTGGTTGTTGCAGAGCTTGTCGAATTTTGTCGTTCGCGGAAGTCTGCAGGCTCAGCGAGAGCAGATTGGAAATCGTCTTCAATTGTCGCAGGTGAAAGACCACCTGGCTCATCTTTGTGGGGTTGCCTTCGTAGTCGTAAACGCTCATCAGGTGACATACTCTGAAGCTCTGACCCGAACTGGATAACAGAAGCCTTCTTGCCATGAACCACAAAGCTGCCAGTACCGCGAGATAGCACGTCATCTGCAGCAGTTTCGTCGGACATTCCAGCGCTCGATGACGAATCTTTCCCTTTCCTGCTTCGCGTGTGGGTGGGTACATGAGCTTCTCGAAGAGTACGATGCAAACTTCGACGAATCTTTCCTTTCTCTAGCTTCTCCTTTTCAGCTGCGGGGTCCTTCGTGTGATCCTTGCTCTCCTCAACGTCGGGAGCAATTGGACGCTTGCCGTCTGGAGTTCTTTCTGGCTCCTTAAGCCCTGCCTCCTCCAGCACAGCTTGCTCTGCCGCATCCACATTTGGACTTGGAGCTCGTGGTGTATCTGACATGGCAGTAGTGGGTTTTAAGCTGGCTTTTGACGGAGTTGTGGCTAAGCTCGGACTTGAAGGCACAGCACTAGAGACAGATGCTTTGCGTGCACGAGCATCGAAGCTCAACGGCGGAAGCTCCCATGAAGCTTGCTGTTGGTGGAAACTTGAGGAGCTCGGAACAACGGGTGGGGTCTGGAAAATATCATCCATTCCATGATCTGCTTCCTGTTGGGGCGCTTGCAGCGTCGAAGTTGATGGGCGATTTGTCGCTTGCGAGGTCGGTCGCTGGCCACGGTGAGCAGTGCTTGATATCGAACGTAAACGATCAAGAGCGCTACGTTCAGAAGCTGCAGTTTCACTCATAATATCCACTTTAGGAATGGCCTTCTCTGGAGGGTTTCTCTCTTCATCCAAATCCTTCACCAAGATGTCCCTGTGACATCTTAAGCGCCAAATTTCCATTCTGCCCCATTTCAAGTTAGCAGCCATTCGACCAGCGGCGAGAAGCACCTGCTCCCGGGTTTTTGGCTGGATTGGAGAGAGGATTTGAAGGTGTCGAGCATTCCTGAGCTGGGCATCAAGTTGTTTTTCCGCTATAGTAAGCCTTTCCTCAGCTTCTGAAATCTTCTGCTGCATGATTTCCCGGCGAGCCGAAAGAATGTCTTGCTGCATCTTTGTATCGATCCTTCCACTGACAATGGTTACTTCGCCAGTCGGGGTTTGCACCGATTTCATTCCATCTGTCTGGCTCTCCAATCGTCTTATTCCACGACTTCGCTGGCCTTCATAATTTCCTCCAACTACGCCCCGCATGCGGACCCCAGCTGTCCTGAAAGCTGCCGCATAGTTGAGTTTCGCAAGCCAATCGTTCATTTCTTGTTCATTGTCCGCAAGGAAGGTCTCCTCAAACCCTCCGTGCCGAACGAAAATGAATGCGTTCTTATGCTTCTGATAGGTAGAGTCGAGCAAAGCGACTGCATCATCCGTCGACATCAAAGCGTCAGGGCTGAATTGTTCAAGGGGAGGCTTGAAGATAATTGGTATGCCATCGTGGCCTTGCTTGATATGTGTTTCCAATTGGTGCATCAGACTCTTGATCCAAGTGGTATTCCTGAAGAAGTAAAGCTGAGCACCAGTTAGAATAGCTCCCCATTCCTGCCAGGGAGATCTGGTCTTTTTCTTCTTCGTGTCCTTTCGCCAAAGGAGGCCAACTTTCGTGATCTTTATATCAACAATCCCGGGGTGGGCCTCTTCAGGATTTGTAACAGTTTTCTCGGACATAAAGGCGTCAGGGCGAGATCGTGCTGAAACTATCTGTAGAACGCCCGTCCTGAAGAAAGTCTTTTGTAGATCCTCCAGATTGAGCGATGGTGCCGTTCCGAGGTAGCCGTAATGTTCCTCCAGATGCATCACGTCCTTGAGATTCGGTCTCAGCGTATCTAGCTTGCTGTCAATAATAAGAGTGTAAGGATCAACAGGCTCTTTCGATGGCCGCTTCGTTGGATCCACATTGCCACGTGACAATATGGACTTCTTTTTCGTCTTATGCTGTACGATTCGTTCGCCGTTGATGTCAAGATCGTCTTCAACATGAATAAAGGGCGTGTACGAAATGTTGTCATAGAAGCATTCTAAAATCTCATCAAATATTCCCTCGCCGCGAATATTCTTCAAGTACTCCGACTTCTGCATTTTATGTTTATTGTTTTTGTTGAAGACGTCGGTGTGCAGGATGAGGAGTGAGAATGCAATAAAGTACGCTTGATCAGGAGATGCGTATATGCCGGGGTTGCACTCATGGTATCTGTTGGCGAAGCCTTGCAAGCATCTATCGATTTGTTGAGTCTCCTTGGGTAATTCAACTTCCATCAGCAATTTTCGGATGGCCATATCCATTGGGTCACCGAAGAAACCAAAACCTCTCATGTAGCTTCTAAGAACGGCTTGAGAAAACGGATCAGTACCCTTAGACAGCACACTAGCTACAACGCCCCTGCTGACAGCTTCTTCCAGGCGAACAAGGTACTTCGCCGGGGTATCATCTTCGAACCGTTCAGGTAAAACAATAGGCTCTCGTGTTAGCTGGATGGAATTATTCTTGGACGTACTCGAACCTGGAGTCGCGGGACCTGAGTTACGTGGAACAGGTGGCTCGGAGTTTTGGCGAAGTCGATGTGATAGACTAAACAGGTCACCAAAGCTCTTTCTACCAGTTGATGTAGAAGTGCGGACAGAAGTAGGAAGGGTCGGAGTGGGTAAAGCGTCATCACTAGCATTGTTATGTAGAGAATTCAGGGTAGATGATCTTCCACGCTGACCCAACCTTGCACGAGTTGGAGACGAAATGGAGGATGCCGCTGATCCCTGTCTGAATAGCCCTGCAACTCCCGATGCGGATGAAGTTTTGGCGAGAGCACTGTGTGAGATTGACGGTGATGGTGACAGCATAGGAGAGGGTAGACTATCGCTGGCTCTCACATCTGCTTTTATAGCAGCAGGATCGACCCCTGAGATTCGAGAGGAGCTAGCAGATGCTCGAGACGCTGCTAGAGATTGGGCCTGGTCTGGGTTGGTAGATTTCTGAGGAAGATGGGAGAGATTAAACAAAGGCGCTGGTGTCTTCTTCCGACGGGGAAGGCGAAAGAAAGTGGTGGTTGTATGAATGGTATGTGTGGTTGTTGTAGTTGAGGCATATACTCCATGATCTCCTGAACTCCCATCAGACCTCGACGATTCAGATACCCGTGTAGCTGGGAGTGCTAAAGTCGAATTGGAATCATCACCGTAGGCTGGTGGGTAATTTTCGCTACTAGCTGTTTGTGTCGAAGGTCGCGGAAGCTCGTCAAAAGTGACTCTGCTCTTATTACCTGAGGGGGCAGTTTCGGACATGGTCTTTCTCCTTTCCTTCTTCTCGTGTTTCGTGACTTTCGCCGGCTCTTCCGCGGTAGAGTCCAAGGAACTCTTAACACGGCCCATCCGTATTCTCGACTTTTTCTTCGTTGGTTTCGCTGGCTTTGTTGCATTCATATCCATCGTAGGAGCGGTCGTGATGATTTCGGGGGCTGGTTCATCTTTGTTAGTAGAATAGGCTAGCGGGGTAACAATTGATACTCACGATGCGGCATGGGGGGAGCAGTGGCAAGCTGATCTTGTTGGGCCTGTAGTCGAGCCCTTGTTGATAATTGGGAGTCTGAAGCATGGCGGAATTTCAACATGGAAAACCGGTGATGCTTGGGTGTTTGTTGCTGCACAGGGGGAGTGATCGAGGGCTCCAAAGGGCTGGTGGCACTCTCAGCTGATGCTCGAGGTGAAGATGCTCCCTCTGCTTCAGCACCTGCTGGAGACAGAAATTCTGCAGCGGAAGGTCTTCTGGGTATCTGCTCGCTGGCTCTGCCATCGAGTAAAGTCGGGTTACCCATTGATTCCGGCAACAGAAAACTTCGTCGTCGGATGTCGTCGCTAGATGGACCACGACGACGTATCAATCCCGGTAGGAGAGGCATGTCGGAGTCCAATTTGCGGCTTCATCGATATCGAGTATGGTGAATGCAACATGAGTTGCACGGAAGGCGAGGAGGGAAGGATCCGGTGGGGTAGACGGGGATTTCGAGAAAAGCAGAGGGTTGGAGAGCTGCTGAATTGGGCTGGGGAGGATGGGGACTTCGAGTCTGATGCTTAGGCGACAACGCTCAGATGATTACAGCTCAGTATGTAAAAACAAAACGAGTGAGGGAGGAAGCGACAACCAAGTCGTCCAGATGAAAAGAAAATTCAACATTCCATGCTGTATAATAGGAAAATGAACAATTGGTGATACAGTAGTAGGACTTGTGTTTCAGCCTTTCTGATATAGATTCAACACCTTTAGAGGGACGATAACATTGATATTACCCGTTTGAAGTACAGTACAGTAGCCTCCCAGCGGACTTTACACTACGACACGCCGAGTACTCCACTACTAATAAGACCGTGAGACCAGCCCAGCCTTACTTCGCCGATCATCCACATCACACCACCAGAAGAGCACATCCACCAGATCCAACCACTCACACACTCGCAGGTGCCTTGCCTGTCTGCTCTACTCTACCCACCGCAAGTTGTACAGAATAATCTCCAGTATCCGTAACAATATTGATCTTCGTCGGTATTGCGACTGATGCGCTATTGATCATGCTCGCACTGCACAACACCCTCTCTTACATTCCATTTCTCCTTCTGGTCCTCTGTGCAACCAGCCAAGCCTTCGCTGTCCCATGGACCACCAGCGACAACTCTCACTACGCAGCTACTCAACGCCATTCGCCACCCGAAGCAAAGCATCGCGGTGTCTTCCCCCAATTGACATGGCTCCGGGATACTGCCATTGAGAAGGTATTTGGCGTGCCAACAAAATCTGCAAAGGCGGGGTCGGAGAAGCCAAACTGTGCATCGCATACCTCGAGTTCCCAGATCCCAGCGACACTGTTAGCCAAATACGGAGGTCATGTGGTTCTTCGATTCAACTTGAGTACACCGCATGAGGAGCAAGCATTGGCGGAGGCCGCGGATACCCTTTTCCTGGATGTCTGGGAGTTTACTAGCAATTGGGCAGATATCCGACTGAGGGAGGACGATGTACGTCAAAAGGTTCCTACTATACGTCTTGTACTAACAAAGAGAAGGTCCCATCTCTACTCGGATTACTACCCAAATCACTCCAGAATGCCTACTCTCCTCTTATGCCCGATCTGGCCAAGTCCATATATCAGACTTACCCTTCAATTGCGCAGGCTCGCCCGGCCTTCCCACCATCTCAACGAGATCGTGCTTTCACGCCGTCTCTAAAGACATCAGATGGAGCTGACAATATCTTCTTTAGCAATTACCAGCCCTACTCGGTAATTGTACCATGGATGCGTCTTATGGCATCTATGTTCACTACGCATGTTCGAATCATCAACATTGGAACAACTTATGAGGGTCGAGACATTTCAGCTCTTCGAGTTGGCGTTTCCCCAAACCTCCCTCAGGAAGACCCCAAACCGAGGAGAACCATTATCATCACCGGAGGTTCCCATGCACGAGAATGGATATCAGTAAGCACTGTGACATATATTGCCTGGTCTCTGATTACATCCTATGGAAAGTCTCCAGCAATTACCAAGCTTCTCCAAGAGTTTGATTTTGTTTTCATCCCAACTAGCAACCCGGATGGGTATATATACACGTGGGAGACTGACCGTCTATGGAGAAAGAACCGCCAGCAAACGAATTTGAGATTTTGCCGTGGATTAGATCTTGATCGCGGCTTCGGCTTTGAATGGGATGGAGCTTCCGCTCATAGCAACCCCTGTTCCGAAAGCTACCAGGGCGAGGAGCCATTTCAAGCGGTGGAGTCACATAGACTGGCCGAGTGGGCAAAGAATGAGACTGAGAACAACGAAGTTAAATTCGTCGGTTTCTTAGATTTGCACTCATACTCGCAGCAAGTGCTATATCCTTACTCATACTCCTGTAACAAGGATCCGCCAAGCCTGGAGAATCTCGAGGAACTAGGAATGGGACTTGCCAAAGCAATTCGGATCTCAAGCGGGGAGCAATATGGAGTTGCTTCCGCCTGTGAGGGTGCTGTTCCTGTCAAGCGGGGTCAAGCTTCCCGGATGGAAACAGGCGGTGGCTCAGCAATTGACTGGTTTTACCATGCGATGAAGACGCGATATAGCTATCAGATCAAGTTGAGGGATACAGGGAGTTACGGCTTCTTACTGCCAAAGGAAAACATCATCCCCACCGGAGAAGAGGCATACAACGCAGTTAAGTACTTTGGCGATTTCTTAATGGGGAATAAGGGGATTGAAGGTCAGCTTTGGAAAGAGATGCATAGGGGGGTTGATGTGGAAAACGAGACAGTGGTGGCTGACGTTGAACCCATCGAGGCAGAGGTTGAGTATGATGCTGATGAAGCAAAGTGGGACCTCAGGCGACGGAAATGATGAACAGTTATCTTTAAATAGGTTCAAAGGAGTTAATGATGGAAATAGCGGCATGTACAGGTTATGGTATTCGGGCGTTGGGGATCATTGTTTTATAACACGCAAAGAAATGTATATAATACCATTTATTACCCAGGCTGGGTCAGCCATATATTGTATAGAAGATTACTCTGTACCACCAGTCTCTGTGTGACAAGAAATCTTTCACCGGCAGCGGAAACAGCGACATGTACGTATGTATGTATGTGCCCTGAGTAATCAACCAGCAACAATTGCGTGATCCCACCCCCACTCTAGCTGTTGTGTAATCTACTCCCAAGGACATGGTACCGCACGGCCTGTCCCTAGACATACATAAGCTTTCCATCTCCTCGACATATGTTCCTTTTCTCTGTTCCAAAGACTTATCGCTATCTCACTCAACTTCAAGATGAAAACTAGAGCCCTCGTCTCGTGCTGCGTCGGTCACTTCACGAGTATCTAATGTTGCCGGGGTATGTACAACAGTACCATAACTGCCGTGTGGCAGACCTGACCTACTCTACTGTACCTCACCTCTTCAGCTGTGCAACTTCCAAGACAGAGAGCAATGTAGCTTGACGTCTCGCCATTGTGAAGCCATCACCAAAACAAGCCTCGGCACAAACATATGTTTCCTTCCGCGTCGGAGACTTTCTGAGCCGGCGACGGGACAACCCTAGGGGAAGATCCAAGCCATGCCGTCACGCATCTGCCGTGCCTGGATGTATTTAGCCAGTTCTCTCTCTATTTATTTCCTTCAAATCTGACTTTATATTTCACTCAATTGACTATTTCCTACAAGCCCTTTTGTCATAACTTCTCCTACAGAACCATTCACTGCACCTCAACTTCCACTTCCACTTCCACTTCACATCTTTAAAAGGAGCTTTGCGCAAAACACAAGCACTTCCAAACCGCCACAATGGCAACAATGGCCATCGCCCCAGACTATGGCTACGTCCTCCTCGCCGCAACCTCGACCTTCATCGTCAACATCCTGCATATGCTCAACACAGGCGCCTACCGCAAAGCAGCAAAGATATCCTATCCAGCCGCATACGCACCCTCCTCACGCACTGATGCCGACGCACACAGATTCAAGTAAGCTAGCTCCTCTCCTTCCCCCGTCCCCTTTCCCTTTTCCTTGTTTGTAAAAAGACAAAGCAGTGCAGACCTGAACAAAACTAACCTGAACAAACCAGTTGCGCCCAAAGAGCCCACGCCAACTACATCGAAAACCAAGTCTCGACCCTCGGCGCCCTCTTCATAGCCGGCTTGAGCTACCCCCGCGTGGCGGCTGGTATGGGCCTTGGCTGGAGCGCGTGTAGGTGGCTGTACATGAAGGGGTATTCGGAGGGTGCGGCGGGAGGAAAGGGCCGGTATAGGGGAATTGCTTATTTGTTGTTCCAGGTGGGCTTGATTGGCATGGCGGGGTGGACTGGGGTGGCGACTATTTTGGGGTGGTAGATATGGAGATGGGAATGGTGAGTAGTTGATTGATTAATAGTTGACTGTACTATAGATGAGAACGCACATAAGCTTGCTGGTTTCAACTTGGGGGGTTTCGGACATGCGTGAGGTGTGTTTGTGTGAACTTGCGGGTATTGAGCTTTTGAGTTGTGTTATAGGTATGTACAACGCTGGGTTCTACGCTGTGGGGTAGAAAACGGAAGTCGTCTTTGGTGGCACAAGTATAAACAGTGTAACCCTAGTCGTTTACAAGCAGTGTCCAGACTCCCCTCCCCTCTAGCCACCATCAGAACCCTCAAATCGCTTCCTCAATATCCAGCTCAAATGACATCTTCTCCTACTATCATTCATAAAAACCACTCCCAGCCAACCTCAACCTTTTGCTTAATCAATCCTCAACTAACTCAACCGACCATCTCCTCCCTATTCGCAACCTCCCCCGCTACACCATCAAAAATCCTTCCAGTGCATACCATCTTTTTAAAAAATGAAAAACTTCTTGTGGGGGGTGACAAGCATGGGATATGAGAATTTACTCGAATTCCATTTCTATGTAGCTGTGTTATGGCGGGTTTCAGTGCTAGGGAAAAGGCGGCTGGATTTTACCTATGTAGCATTCTCCTGAGCAAGAGTTCCTCACTTCCACTAGGAATAAATGGAATAATAATGAGGTATAGGGAACTGACCATTGGAAACGAGTCAAGAAAGTACTTCTTAATCAAACCTATATTTCCCAGTCAATATGACTCAACATGAGATAAAAACACCAAATCTGTATAACTAGAGCCGCTCTGAAATCCACGACCACCATTTATCAACAACAGGCCCCTCACCCCCCCGCAACATTACCCCCAGAAACCTCAACCACAACATCAAACTCCTCCATCTGCTTGAACCTAAACTCCGTACTCCCCACCTCTCCCAGCCACTCATCCCTATCCCCCTCATCCTCCATCCCAATCCCCGAATCCAGCAAGCCCTTACTCCTCGAACTCCTAACCTTAGATATCTCCATCTCCAAACTGCTTTTCACAAGCGAAGCAGGGAGTGCCGTAAACAAATCCCCCTTATTCGCCGCTATCAAGATGGGAATCTCTTTCAGCGCTTTCACAGCTTTGTTTTTGCTCTCGGTCCTCTTTTGCAGTACAAGGAGAATGTCGTGTAGATAGTCGGCTGTATGTCTTAGCCCCTCATCTCCAGCGGAAAGCGTAGCGGCGTCTACGACGAATATTATGCCCTTTAGGTTCTGGGGGTTGGTGATGCTGGCGAGGGCATGGTGTCGCAGCTTCCCGTGGCCTGGAGTGTCGACGAGAAGGAACTTCTTGTGCCTGAGGTTTGTAGGGTCGTTGACGGAGCGGTATCTGTCGGAGGAGGCGAGGGTGCCGACTGGGAGGTGGCATTCGGCGGAGATGGGGGCTTGAGAAGTGTGTGTTTGAGCGGCAGATGTGCCGCGCTCGAACTGGATTTCTTATTAGTATTTTACCCAGGGCTTCTTAACAGGGAAGGGACAATCGTTTACAAGAGTTAGGAGAGAGGTCTTCCCAGAACCACTGGGGCCGATGAGCAGTATTGAGGGGAGAGTTGTCAGGCCGCTTGCTCGAAAGACGAATGAATGTAGGAAGAGTGGTATGCTGAGGACCAGGAGGATACCGACGATGAGCGCGACAGGTGATGGGCTCATTAGGGCATGCGCCCACTCTGCAATTGTAGACATTCTGCCTCTATTCCCGATAATTTCGAGTCTTACTGTCGCAAAGGCTGCAATGACTATAGGTAGGTGCAAGGCTTCGAGCTGAACAACCCGCGCCGCGGCGCACTAAAATCTTTCGATGCAGGGGGTACACTCAGCCTCGTTCATGACCCGTCAGCTTCAAGTAATCCAATTTCAAAGCGCCGACTCAAACTTCCACCATGTGCGTGTCCTTCTCACGAATATAATTTATCCTTTTGTTTCGACAACGAGTAACGAAGTGACGGATCTTGGAGGCTTGAATTTACTCTGCGACTCGACCCAGGCATGGCGGATGAGGACAAGAAGTCGAATTCTACGAGTGCAATTGGGACAGCGGATATGATGGGGCCAACTGGGAAAGCATCTGCAGCAACACCGAAATTGAGTGATGATGACCATGTTGAGATGGAGGAGATAGTATCCTCAGGGTCCCCAGTGAACCCTGATGAAGATATCATGCAACTTGCGCGACTCGGTGATATCCAGGGGATAGAGAAGCTGTTTGATAGTGGGAAGTTTGATGGTACATATGCTGATGCAGAGGGGATTACGCCTCTACATGTATGTATCTATACTCTGAAGGAGCTCTGGGACAATTACTGATATTCCTTTCAGTGGGCTGCTATCAACAATCAATACGCCATGTGCCAGTTTCTACTCAAGGCTGGCGCAGATGTCAATAAGAAAGGAGGGGAATCAGTTGCTACTCCTGCAATGTGGGCAGCTCAAAGGTGTCACTATTATACAGTCCATCTTTTACTCGAAAACGGCGCAGATCCTCTTGTCACAGATATCCAGGGCTACAATATCCTCCACCTCGCAACATTCGAAGGGAACATCTTCCTACTCGTCTTACTCCTGCACCAAAATATCTCGGTGGACATTCCAGACAGCCATGGACATACTGCGCTCATGTGGGCTGCGTACAAGGGGTTCCCGGCATGCGTGGATCTATTCCTGAGATGGGGAGCAGATGTTCATGCTGCGGATGAGACGGGATTTACAGCATTGCATTGGGCTCTTGTCAAAGGATCCCAGGGTTGTATCCAGAGATTAATCGAATATGGGGCTGATCGATTTGCGGAAACTTCGATGGGAAAGACACCCGCAGTCACAGCGTCAGAAATGAAAACAGAGAGGATATGGCACCGAGCATTACGAGAATGCGGGTATGATGAGGATGGAAAGCCAAAGACAATTGACTTCCCGATGAGTTCGTGGTTGTTACAGGATAAGCGGAGCTTTATGAACAAGTTCTTCTTTTTCTTCCCGTTCTTGATTATATGGGTTATGATTATGATTTCAAGCCATATGGTGGTGTACGCGGGCGTACCTATGGCGTTGTTTGCTGGTTATGGTTTGCAATGGGTTGCACAGGAAGTGATGGAATATGCGCCATCGGATATGAGGCATATGCATAAAACTGTACGTCTTCTGGAACATGTCTAAAGACCAAAAGCTAATTATGTAGCCTTGGCTTGCAGGAATATTCGCGGCTACATTATTTTGGGTTGGGTTAAGGTGGCTGTCGACTGTCCTTCCTTGTGAGTTCGACTACCGCGAAAAAGGCTATTGCTAATCAACGTAGGGACATATTCCGCCTACCCATTCAGTAATCTTGCTTTTGGGGTGTCGTACACCCTATGCGGTTACTTTTACTTCTGCACCATGATCTACGAGCCTGGCTATGTTCCTAAGCTTGGTGGACTCGGTCCCCAAAAGGCCGTCATTGACGAGCTTTTGAGTTTATGGAAGTTCGATGACCAGAACTTCTGCGTTCCTTGTATGGTTCGGCAGCCATTGAGAAGCAAGCACTGCAAGAGGTGCAACCGCTGTGTAGCCAAGCATGACCAGTAAGTAGTTCAAGTCCGGATTTGATTTATTACTGACTCCATGAAGTCACTGTCCTTGGGTATACAATTGTATCGGCGTCAATAACCACAGGCACTTTTTCCTCTACTTGGTGACTTTAGAGGTGGGTGTTCTGTTAATAGTGAGACTGACACTGAAATGTGAGCATAACATACCCAATTTACATCGATCAAGCCCAGCTAACAATAGCAGATTTCGAGGTCCTGAGTGACAAGGCCGAAGGGAGTACTGAATGCAATATTCTGGCTCCAGAGCTTTGCAAACTTGTAAACGCGGATCCATACACACTTGTCCTCATGATCTGGGCAGCTCTACAATTGACATGGGTAACTATGTTAATGTTCGTACAGCTTGTCCAGATCTCCAGAGCCATGACAACATGGGAAAACATGCGCGGAGCAGACCATATGCATGGAAGCAAGGCTTCACAAGCCATCACCTCAGCCCTCACAACAGGCACTACCTCGCAATCAGGGGCGCAAATCGGCAACGCAGGTCTGGGACCAGATCCCGTCTTACCACCTACCCACGCCCCTGGCGGGCACCACCACAACCACAAGCAAGGCTGCTTCGCACAATGGAAGAAAATCCTGGGCGTGGACACATTCGTCGAGACGGCGCTCCACAAGAAAGACACCACGCACCGCAATCGCAACCCCTTCTCGGCCGGCTGCCTCACAAACTGCAAGGACTTCTGGTGCGATCCGGCGCCTATATTCGGGAAACGGGAGAACGGCGCTGCGATGCTAGGAGGCCAGGTCGTGGATTACACGGCCATGTACGAGACGCCCAGGATGATGAGTACGAGGACGAGAGGCGGTGGCTATGAGAGCGTGGCGGTGGATGATTCTGTATGAACGATATGTACTGTACCTACCTATCTATGATTATGAGGGCAATTGGGTGGCGGGGGCGCAGAGGGATGTGGATACTTAATAGTGAAATCCAAAATATGTATCATGCACAAACAAACTTTGGATTCTTCACAACACGCACAGCACAGCACAGCACAGCACAAAACAATATAAAGAAAATAATGAAGTGATGCTGAATATTATATGAATGGGAATTCTCTTCCCTTCCCTTCCCTTTCTTCATACCTACGGAATATGATCCGGGACGGGAGCTGAGCTGTCCACTGTCCGGCAGCTAGCCCAGGCGCTACCCTCGTACTAGACTAGACTACTAGTAGACTACTGTACTCTACTGATTCAATCTACGGTACGGAGGTACGGAGGTACGGAGTACTTGTACAGTACTGTACTGTACTGTACAGGACTGTATGTACTGAAGGGAAAGGAGATTGCGATTGCCCAACAGAATCTGGCCTCCCCTGACCCTCGGCTACTTCGGACAGAGAGTGAGGTGAGTAAGAGACCCGCTGGGCTGGAAGCTGCAACGTACGTCAACGTCACTCAGGGGTAGGGTGGTATTTGGGGATGAGAACTTTTCGGTTTGGGTTTTCAGGGTAATGCGGCGGTATTTATATCATATTTAATTATGTACTTGATCTATGGTACCTATCATTACAGTAAAAAACACCTGGTCTCACTCATAAGCATAGGTACCTTAGGTAGCTCCTCCGTAACATAAATCTGGGAGGTGACGGCACGCAGGATTTCCGTTTTTTCCCGTACAGTGGATACCCGTGAGATCAGGATAAGGATGGGATTTCACGTACCCTACTGCTGCATACAGATTAGCGCGGTGCATAATGCCCCACTTGAGGCTGATAACAATCTGTTCTCTGCAACTACATCCTATCAATGCGTCGTTTGTGGGACGGTGGAAAAGGGATGGGATGGCTGCACTGCATTACTCGTGCTGTGGTGCACGTGTGGGATTGTATGTGACTGTATGCGTTTCACGGTTTACGGAGAACACAACTGCGATGAGGGTGAGGTCGAGGTCTATCAGGGATAGATGGATGACATGACCCCCACGGGCTGGACCTGACTCGCTCTTCTTTGGCTTTCGCTGTCCGTGGACAACCAACCTTGCGCTGTTTATTTGCGTCGGGCAACTAGTAGCCGGCCACTCGGAAAGTGTACTTGGACTCGAAATCTCTCGAATACGGAGAGGGGAGACGGAAATCGTCCAGTCAGACAGCCATAACAACAACAAGAACAAGAATATTAACCTCAATATCCGTAAACACCCGAACTGTGGATTTCCTACGTGGGTCAATCGTTTGTTTGATGCTATCGCATTCCCTCGCTTTGATTCGAGCCGTCGCAGCAGAAATGGGTCCCTAGATCCATTCATACCCACTTCACGCCTCAACAGGACAAAGCAAGCGCGCAGTGTGTAACCGCAATAGGCAAGAAGCTCAACACCACGGATCACCATGTGAGAAATGCACCCCGTCCGGCTCTCCCACTTGGAAGCGTGGCGTCCTACCTGACTCCTGAGGCCAACAGTAGGGAGCTCGTTTGAAAACTTTTCCCACTCGACTTGAGCTTGTCCTTTCCAACCTCTACTTTCCCTTTCATTTTTAGAACACACTCCTCCAGCTTCTCCAGACTTTTTCCTTTGCTCACTCACACCTCTAATCATCTCCTCTCCTCTCCACCCACACCAAACCACACCACACCACCACAACCACCAATACACAATGGCTGCTCGTATGTTCGCTCCCAAGGTGGCCTCCCTCATGGGCTCTACCTCAGCAAAGGTCGCTCGTCCTGTCATCCGCTCAAGCGTCAAGGCCAATGGCTCTCAACGCGCTTTCTCTGGTCAGTATATCCTCAATCCCACTGCCATTGGCACCTCAAAACCCAATCCCGCCCTTATCTCCCTCTCCCAACTCCATCGTCACATGATATCCAACCAAACCTCCTGAACCCAACTGACACAATCCCCCACAGGTGTCTCCTCGAGCATCCGCGCCCAAGCCAGCAAGCAATCCACCCCATTCAGCGCCGTCAAGCGTCAACAAGCCTCGCAAATCCTCTCGCACGCCAGCCGCAACATGGCCGCCCGCCGAGGCTTCTCCTCTGAAATCGCCACCGCCATGGTCCAGGTGTCCCAGAACCTGGGTATGGGATCCGCTGCCATCGGTCTCGGTGGTGCCGGTATCGGTATCGGCATGGTGTTCGCTGCTCTCCTGATGGCCGTGGCCCGTAACCCAAGCATGCGTGGCCAGCTCTTCTCGTACGCCATTCTGGGTTTCGCTTTCGTTGAGGCCATTGGACTTTTCGACTTGATGGTTGCTATGATGTGCAAGTACGTGTAAATACATTTTTTTCGCTCATCGCGGAAGGGGTTTGGATAGAGGGCGTGCGGTGGAATGGAATGGTTGCGTGTAGGATTCGATAGAGTGGTGGAGGGGGCATAGAAGGTGATGCATAGATTTGGAGATAGACGGCTAGACCTAAGACTGTACAGTACTACTATAAAGGGTGCGTAAGAAGTATGTCCATAGCATTTAGCGGTCTCAACTCCTTGATCCATCCATCCATCTCCGTCAGCTTCGCTATCGAAGTCAGATTTCGTAAATCAGAGAAATCACGTGGCATATCAACATCGCAAAACATCACAACATCTTCCATGCACAACCGAGGTTACCTCTACTCTGTCTGCTGAAGATGACATCCTAGATCGTTCCTGGCTTGGGTCCCTTGGACCAAGAAGAGAAGAGAAGAGTTGCTTTTTCTTCCTTCAGTGAAGTGTTCATTCATTGAAACAATCCATCCATCCATCTCCCACATCACCTCAATTCCTCAACTCCTCTCCAGTATAAAGAAAACACACCTTACCCGCCCCCAAAACAATAACAACACAGCCTTGCAAGCGTTGCATAGCATATAGATATCGCATTTCTCATACTATGTATATCTATATGCACGGCTTGCTTTACAAAAAACAGAGATAGATAGATAGATAGATAGATAGATAGATAGATAGGGAATATCTTCTTTTCTCTGCTTGATGTTTCGTTCATGTACGCACGGGAGGGAATAGCAGGCTAATTCTAACTGTATGATGAGGAATCAAGTATGAGTGAGTGAGATGTAACTGTTTATAGATGGCAAGTAAAGAAGTACGGTGATTATTTATTTATTTTACTGTACAAGCAAGTAATTCTATAAATAAAGATTATGATGAAATTTAGAGACGTGCATCGGAAGACCTGGGCACGAGTGGTGGATTAGAGATAGATATATGGTACTGATGTACTGATACGACTTGTTCAGCCAAGTGAGTGCGGTGAAACTGAACGGGAAGGGAAGGGATGGTTTAGGAATGCTAGGCAAGCACCTTGTGCAAGTAATGGATGGGTTCAGTTCTATAATAAATGGCAATAAAGAGAACCCTGGATTAAATATCGTATCTCATATTGATGCTATACAGATTACCTCACCATCTTGCCTCGTGGTCATGGCCATGGCCGTTCGCTCCAATTCAATCATATCCACTCTTCCCCTCCACAACACCGTACGCACCACCGTCCTTGCCAAACATCGTCTTCAGGTCCCGAACCAGGTATTCCGGCTTCTCGGTTGCGTAGAAATGCCCACCGGATTCGTTTTCCGCCTCGTAGACAACGGGTCCCATGGTTCTGCACCATGACTTGGGCAGGACGGCGAGCTCCTGCGGGTTATACGCTGATATCGATCATTAGCTATCAACCAACCATGCATGCAATTTCCATAACAGGCGTCCCGAGGAGAAGAAACTCACCAAGTCCCAACTTCACATGGGGAATATACTTCGACACCACATCACTCGCAACAGCACCTTCCCGCGGATGCGACATCTCATAATATATGCGATGCGCAGCCCCCGGTCCCCCGCGACTATACGCATACACACTGACCCAGGTAAACAGCTCCTCCTCGGTCCACTTGTACCCATCGGTCCAGTCGTGCAGCTTCTCATACACCCACGCCAGCAGCGCCACGGGGCTATCATTCAACGCATACGCCAGTGTCTGCGGCTTGGTGCTCTGCTCGACGAAATACCCGCGTCCCTCGGCGCCGAACCACGCCGTGCGCGCCAGCCCCGCCTTCTCCTGCGCCGTGTACGGCGTGAGCGTGTGCTGCAGGGCCAGCAGCGGGTTCGCGGTGAACGAGGGCGCGGACGCGACCACGAGGTTGATGTGCGAGGCTTTGCAGGAGGCGGGGTACAGGTGGCCGATCGTGCGCGTTATGAAGAAGCCCCAGTCGCCGCCTTGGGTGACGTACTCGTTGTAGCCGAGCGAGAGCATCAGTTTGTGGCACGTCTCGGCGTATTGTTTGGCGGCGAAGCCGCGGGTCTTGACGCTGGAGGAGAAGCCGTAGTTGGGGAGGGAGGGCGCGACGATGTGGAATGCTGGGCCGGCGGGGTCGGCGAGGAGGGGGAGGATGGGGAGGGCTTCTATGAAGGAGGCCGGGCCCTGGGGGTGGATGTTAGATGTTGTTCGTCTAGAAGGATGGATGGGGGGACTTGCAGCCGTGGACGAAGAGCAAAGGGATGGCGTTCTTGACTGGGCTCTTTTGCCAGATGAAATGTATATCTAGCTCATCGAAGCCATCTACTTTGATACCGGTGTGGTATTGAGGAGCTTTGTTGAGTCTCTCTTCTGCTTGTCTCCAGTCCCATTGCTCCCAGGCTTTGGTCAGACGTTGCATGTCTGCCAATGGAACACCCAGGTCCCATTCCGAAGCTTCCAGCTCATCGGGAAACTCGGCGAGAGACAGCTTCGTCTTCAGCTTGTCGATTTTCTCCTGGGGGACGGAGATGTTATATGGTTCTGGAGCCATGATTCCAATTATTGGGTTTCGGTGAAACTTGATGGATCCGAATTTGAGGAAAGATGACTGGGTATTTGTATAGAGATTTGAAGAGAAAGAACCAAGGAGAGCATACTAGTAAGTGGGGAGATGTTGAGTTACCCGACCGTTACTTGATTCTGGTTATGGTACGATAGGTGACGTTCAAGTGCCGGTCAAAGCTTTTGGGATATACGCAGCATACGCCCGTATTACCCATATACGCTACCCCGCACAAGCTTTCTACAGTTCCTAGCCTAAGTACTTTATATCTGCAGGATTGAGTTCGTAATTACAAGTACCTGGTCATTATTGGTCGGTTCAGTACAAACCTTGTTGAATTGGCCGAGTGCATTATTTTTATTCAAGGTCAGAGTCGGCCTCGGACCGTATGCATGTCTACATTAGAAGAGCTGGGGTATTAACACAACGTTAATGTCTCGTATCAATGTCAGCTCTACCTAGGTAATATCTCTTTATAAGTATTGGAGAGACCATTGGAAATAGTATGCTTTGATATAGTATACTATTAATACACCATGGATAATCTGCTGGTTGGTCATTGAATAATGCGGGGTTGATGGCGGGGTAACCATTATAACACTCCTTAATAACTATTAATGAACCTTCGCCCCACCGTGTAGACAGGTGACTTCAGCAAATGATATCACTAAGTCTAGGGCCCAGTATGACCTTACAAGGACTTTACGAGGCCATTCAGGTCTATAGAATTCTATGTTCTATGGAGCAAATTCACAATTTAACATTTATTAACGGGGCTGGAGAGTAGTGGAACCGTGAAATAGAATCCAATGTCAGCTTCTCCATTCTGACACAAGGAAAGAATAGCCATGGACCTTTGGATAACTTAGATAAGTTAGATAATTTAGAAAACTCTATAGAATCCGAACAATATCTTCGGCTGACTTCGGAATCAAATTACTTTTCGGCCGCACGGAGTATCGTCGGGGGGTTTATCCTAGGCTCTGCTCTTCAACCACAAACCATACAACAGCTTCTGCATCTACTCGCACGTCTTATTCATACAGTCTTCGGACGGAGTCTCTCATCTGCAAATACCTATCCCTTCCCCTCCTGCTTTACTCCGTACTTAGCAAGCTACTTAACTAGGTGCGGGTCGAAGACAGAACGCCTCTCAAAACCTCCCTAGACTTTGCTTTCTAGTTTTGAGAATTCTATTTGCTCTTATCAAACTTAACCCTCTGCGGGACAGTGGGATTTTCCTTATTTCAACGGGCTGTCTTGAGGAAATTTGACGTTAAGAACCGTGCCTGATGCTTATTTAGTCAAGTGACTTGGTCTTGGGGCCTTGGGTTTCAGCGGAAGGCTCTATGTATGGTTTGTAGAGAGGAACTCCATGCCAATGGTATTATAGTTTCTTCTCATAACTTTAAATCTCGTTGACTGGTATGAATGGCCATACTAATAAATACTCCGTTTCCGAAATCCCAAAGCAATGACGAGCCCAATCCCGCACTTCAAGACACCAAATCAAAGAATTTGGATAGCAACCAATTTCAATTCAACTTTTGATAACTCCCTTATTTACACCTCTTTTATCCCAAGTACAGTCCAGCAGCTATACCATCTCCAGCACTTCATGTTATGCAACAATCTTCGCATTCAAGAAACGACAAGTGGTGAATCATATTGATAGGCTTGGGGTTCCTCACTGCCCACCTCAATGGCGGCCATCTCGAAATAGATACAACCAGTCTTGTCCCCAATTGCTGCAGCCCTGACCTGATAAACGCCGACGGAATCTGCTACGGGACAAGCCAGCCAGTCCGAGCCCTTGAACCAGACAGCTGCATATGTCTCTGTTGGCGCGAATCTCTCGATGCGCGTGAATCCCGTCTGGGTTGCTGTTGGGGGAATGCCAGCGGCAGGAGACGAAAAGCCAAATGCCCCGTCCCCAGATATGTAAGCTGCCTGGCCTCCCGGAACCGCAACATCCTAAAGTGAGGCTGTATTAGTACCCGTTTGGTTGAGATTGGATGAATGAATGACTGAATGAATGACCACGATGCGGGGGAGTGATATGGACTTACCATGCTTGCGCTGGAGCCCGTGAGAGTAATGGCGGTGATGTTTGTAAAGTCTCCGCATGTGAGGTAATTGCTCGGACAGGATGTGGCAGTGTTCTTTCCAATGAAAAGACCTCCATCCGCAGCGTTGAGAACAGCACCATCTACAGCAGTGCCTGCCGCTTTTGCTGTGGGTGCGAGGTAGTAGACTGTATCACCTGGTTGCTGACGAGAGCTCAATATAGTCGGCGAAGCAGAGGTGAGAGCTATGAGCGCTGTCATGAAAAGAGCTCTGGTGAACATTTTGAAGTCCTTGATTTGGGGCGCACACGGTATGGGTTGGTTGAAGAAAGAGTAAGATACCTTATTTGCAATTGCAGGATAGTAATTTATCAAAAGAAAGAAGATTCAACCCGGATATACTCTTTGAATCAAGTGAAATAAATTGAAATATATATCCACGAAGCAGCTGCAACGTCACATCGAATGATTCTTTGGTTGCCTATAGAACGCTTAGTTACATGAACAATTTGGGTTCGAAAAGTGATTCAAAAATAGATACGAGGTAAAGTCTTCTAATTATTGAGTCCTACATATTGATTCTCAATCAAAAATACATAATCAGGCAGCAGGAAAAGTGAACCAAAGTGAAGCAAAGAGGAGTGAAGAGGATTCAAGCCGTGCGGCGAGCCTGGTTGGCACGATGAACGACAAAGGATTTCCCGAAAGCTGCATTCTTCTCTTCCTCAAACCACTACTGTAATTTCATTCTAGACTGATTTCATGGAATTCAATTCTTCACATGTTTGCTTGCTTGTGTTTTTCGGTTTCAAGCAGCATTAGATATCTCGGCTTTATAGAAGTGATTTACATGTAAAACCTCACGTCACTAGGGTCATAGTCTATGGAACATCACTAACATATTTCCCAGGCTTTACTCGCCATATATATAATTCATGCTGATTTCAATTACAGATCCTTTCGTTCATCCTGTGGTTTGCCAAGAATGCAGTCCTGCAGAGCTCGTAATCCTCATGCTGCTGCCTAAATGTCCAATGTCACATCAGCAGAAACACATTGATTATTTCAAATCTTGCACCATTCGGATAATATGAACAAGTCAGTACACTACCCTCCAAGA